TAAAAATCACAATTTAAACAAAGTGTAACTGTCAAAAGCATAAAGCCAGCAGTGTTGTGGTTGCATGCAAGATTAATATAGAATTTGTAAGTATTACCTTTAGTAATTATCAGACTGTAAGCCCAATACAAATTCAGTTCAGTGTTAATGGAATATCAGCTTTTGGTTTAAATGCTTTCATATTGCTGATGTGTTTGTTGTGGAGAAGAGAACCAATGATCCAAATAAAGCAGCTTCTTTTTCACATTAACAGTCCTTTTGCGTCTCCCCGTCTCTCCGAAGCATGATCTTTACTTGACAGTAAAATTGAAATACAAGAGCTTGGATCTCCCAGCTGTCTCTAAGGTTCCTGTGTATGATTGCAAGAGTGTATAACTATGAACAATACAAACTTGATTGTAAATCTCGCCTGTTTTGACAGCAGTTTGATTCATAAAGTCCCTTGTTGGTGCAGCGTTGCCCTGTGTGTTGATAAATTATTCAGCTGTTTTATCAAGTAAGCTATCATAAGGGAGCTGGAATAGGCAGAATCTCTCACAGTAGAATAAAACTAATAAATAAATGCCATTAATTATAACAAACACTGGTTGATTTGTTTATTTATTTATTTATTTATTTATTTTTTGTCAGTGTCAGCAGTAGCAGATTGTTCCAGCCTCACTACAGAGGAGACATCAATGGGCAGCAATGAGTCCGTATCGTCCCAGTCATCGTCAGCCTCGGCCTCAGAGACGCCTATAGAGAAGACTGATCACCCCCCACTTAGCAGCAGCCTCAGCTCAGGCAGCAACTCCAGGTGAGTGCTTCACTATGCTCAAGTCCCAAATCAATATGTGACTGTGCACCCACTCAGGTTCTGTTCAGTGCATCCACAGTAAACAAGTCACAAAAGAGAAATGTTGGGATTACACTGAAATGTTGCCCATTTACACTATGATACAGCAATGCACGATACTCTTGATTCTTTACTGATTTAGTTTTTGTCTCTTTCTATCATTTGGCTTACATAGTTTAATATTTTTGGGGTGTTGATGTTAAAAGTTCTTCCTCTGGTGCATCAGATCAGTTCTATTACTCTGGCAGGTAAAGTGTCCCCAGTGTTTGATTAGAACACGTTGTCATAAACTAGTCTTTGCTTTAGTCTCATAATCAGACTGAGTTGCCATTTGGTTTTACTCCACTCATTCATTCACTTCATGAATCACTGAACATGTCAGAGATGTGGGTGGTGATTCAGAGGACTGACTGAAAGCACTTTAACACAGGCAAACTACAAGTATGACGTAAAGACATTTTAGACCTCCGTGTCCATCCGTTCATCCCGTTCTCATGAACACAGTTTTATCAAGAACACCTGGAGGGACTTTCTTTAAAATTTGGCACCGATTTAAATTCACCACCTACACTTGAAATGAACAGAGAAGTGATTAGATTTTGGTGGTAAAAGGTCAAAGATTACTGTGACTTCGCAAAACACCTTTTTGGTCATAACTCATTCATACATTATAACAGAATTTCGCACAAATGTCGACTAAGAAAAAAATGTCCAAGTGATGATGTTTAATATTCAAAAAGTCAAAGGTCAGCTACTCTATGGCATTACAATTTTTTTTTGCATAAAGCTCTTTGCTGGTCATTATTCAGTGTCATAATTCAGAAACAAAAGGACAGATTGAGACAATAAGTTACACTTGGTCAGATCCTGAATCTTGGGCTGCCCACCTATTAAACTGTGGGGAATTAATAGCTCTTCTGTGTTGCTTCTTTGGATCTACATCTATATTCCAAGCATTGTCTACTGGCTACAACTGTGTGTTATATCACAATCAGCTTTATTGGTCAAGTTTGTAAACTTATCCAAGAAACTGACAGCTTTACCAACAAATACAGTCCACATACAGGAGAACAGCAAGAAAGTCAAGTCGAATCAATTTGACTAATTGACGGAGGCGCACAACCACGAGGCGGTAATTCTAGCTAAATTGTATCGATCATTCTTTTTTATTCACTTGCATCCTTTAGTGACATTATTTTTATTATTTCAACAGTGCTAGTGTTAGAAATATTATTTAATTTCATATTAGTTTCATTGTGGGAGTACACTGGAAATTTTACAGTTGGGTTTTGGTCACAGTTTAAGTCGTAACTGTGTAATATTTCGATTTTTGAAGTTGTACTTGTTTAACTTATTTAATTGTTTTCTAGTAAAGCGATAGAGTCATCATTCTAACTTACATTACCTAAAGGGACACAAAATGAAATGCTTCCTCTGCATTTATATATATATCTTCTGGCCTGACAGTAACTTTGATGTAGACTTGTTACCTTAACTGACAGTTATGTTTGACGTCGCAGCAGACTAAAATGAAGAGCAGAATCCTTCCTATATTAGCATGCATACTCCAACGAGAACCTGAAAATAGTGTCTTTAAGGCAGACTCAAGTAACTTCTTCCCCTGTAGATTATTAAATAGGAAATGCATCTAAACACTTTTGGGTTACACTTTCCTGCATTTTGTGTAGCTCAGTTCCCTCTTTGCCACTCTGGTACAACGAACATTTAGTAAAAAAACAATCATTATTAATGAACAGCAATACATTTTTGAACACAATGAATTGACACAGAACCTGCACATATGTGACTCAGTCACTATTTCTGAGTGAGGAAAAAATTAAACAAATGATTAGTTAAGGTAAAGGGAAATGCATTGTTAATGTTAGCCCCATTGTTCGTGCTATTAGTTTCTTGTACTTAAGGGAAAATGCATTAATAGTTTGATAGTTTGCCTCTCACTGGCTTCTCCTTGTCTGTCCTCACTCTCTCTACTAAGTCCTTGGTCCTTTTTTGTTGTTTCCAGCCCATGACTTGTCTTGAATGCTGATGTGAGAGATGAATTATTGGGTTATGCTGCAGATGTTAGACTCTGCTGTGTCATGTCTACAGATTCACCTTGAAATAGACTTTTTCTCATTCACTGTCCCTTTCTCCTTCTCCATCAGCTGAAAAGAGCTGTAAAATAAAAACAATTCCACCTCACAACTTGACAGAGGACAATGTGATTCCTCTCTCTTTGACCTCTGTGGGTGCGTGCCCGCCTGTGTGTGTAGGCATGTTTTTTTCTTTTTTTTTTCTAAGTTGCAGGATTAGACAGACAAGGCTCTATACTCCTTATGTAACCAACTCCTTTTTTTCCTGCGGGTATTTTTTTTTTGTGCTTTCCCACATATGTGGCATCATGTTGGAGGACGGAAGGAGCAACCGGGAGGAGGTCGTAAATCTCAGCTCTTATTTGTTTGGGAGACAGGTGGCCGTGCGTTGGCCGTGTAAATCGTATTGACATTGGGGAGATATTCATCTTGTTTACCCTTATAGCCGCAGCCCCTGTCCCTTTATGAAGACTTGCGCCATATGTCACAGGGTGTCGCCCTGGCTTTGTTCACTCATAAATCTTAGCATGTGAGATGGTAGAGACCTGTTAGCACAGCACCTCTCTGGCGTGGAACCCAGGGTTTCGGCTTCAGTCCTGGCCAAAAAGAGCAGTATGGATGGCAATTGCTAGATTACTTCCAGCCACTTTCAGAAATGTGTTATCTGCACTCTGGTGTGCTCAAAAGCGCACCTGGAAAACAGTGTATTTTAGTCAGTTTCCTGCAGGATAGCTGCAGCAGAATTTGCCTGGTCATACACAAATGCATCCTGACTCACTATATCATGCAATAATTCTGTGTGGACTGTGGCACGATTTATCATCTCCGTCATTTTCGATGTCTCGCCTCATTTCTCCTCTTCTCCCTAAATTCAGTCACAGCCTCTCCCAGTGGCTTCGTTGCCCCAAGTCCTACCCAATGAGGTTACATTTTGTGGCCTTTTTTTTTTTTTTTCTTTTCCCTCTTCCTCTCCTCTGCCCTACCTCCAGCCCTCCAAGACTCTCGCTGGTAGACAGCTGTGGATCATAAAATGGTGGATCAGAGCTTATTTCCTGCCCACCCAAACTGGTGGTGGCTGGGCAAGCAACTTGGCGATAGGTTTGATCCCACTTTCTACTAGAAACAGTACTAAATCCCACCGCTGCCCTTCTTCCTTTAGTAGAAAGACAGTTGATAGCCCTGCTCATCCCCGTGTTAGCTCCACGCCAGGATCAACAAGGCTTGGATGCTGCAGGGTGAAATTCCTGCAGTAATGAGAAGCAGCAGACCACTTCTGTTGATGAATTTCTCCCTGCTACTAACCTGGCAGCATGTGATAATGTGTGATAACACCGGTGTTTAAAATTATTAACCAGAAGACCTCCAGTTGCAGGTCTGTTTGGAATTCAGTATTTGCAACACTAGTGCAGCTTGTTATAATGATGCCCTTGAATTAATTATATTGTCTCCTTCATATTATAATATGTATGTTTAAAAAATACAACATATATACATAAAATATAAATATACAATTTAAAACCTACTATTCCTAAAAACTTGTTATGTATACGAATATTACCAACATCTGGAAGGGGGTTTTATCCCAGCCTTGCATACAGTGCATTTTCAAGTCCCCATTTATTGTATTTAATCGTCTTTGCAGAAAAAGCTTAGCTAGGCCTGTGATGGGTAAAAACAACGAAAGAGCAATTCAAAGCTTGATGCTATTTTTGTTGAAGAGAAATGGCAAACGATTTCCCTCGGTTTGGCTTAGCTGTAATTGTGAAAGCAATTTTGGGACGAATCCATTTACCTCTGTTACATTTAACAAGTTTCTAGGGCAGCCATGTGGCATTCACTGATTTTCCCTAACTGTTTGTTCTATAATTATTTAGTTAACTGTTCATTTTAAAGATCTTCTTTGATCTGTATCATCCTCTCCCAGCTGAAATAAGCAGCAGTAAGATGGATGTCAACTTTTCTAAAATACGTGTGTGTGTGTGTTTTCTGTTTATAATACCACCTTATTCAGAGCTTTTTGTGTCGGTGAGTAAGTTCACCTGCAGGTGGGTCAAGTGTTGGTGCTCCTCTGCGCTGCCTTCTTTTGGCTCTGAACCAGGCAGACAGTGGTTGTGCCTGGGCCTAGGTTAATGAGTGGATTTGCTGCACTGCAGCGCACTGTCCCCCCATGCTGATGTGGAGCAGCTGAGCACCACAGTGGCCCCACACTGCTGCAGAGCTATAAATCACCCACAGTCAGGCCAGGCCTGAACGGAGCAGCCACCGCTGGGGATGGACAAGCGCACTGAGAGAAAGGCAGGGGAAGAAACAAAGGGAGGAAGCAATGCAGAGGGGGGACAGAAAGCGTGAGTCCAGCACTGTGTTTTCACCTCCACCTATGTCCACGTAAGATCCCCTACCATGTTCTCCCTCAAGGCCATGTCTCTCTCTCCTCCACCAGTGCCAACATAACCACTATTCACAACATCCTCTCAACCTCCAGCCCCTCCCCAGCTGCTCCCTCTAATTGCCTTTATTAACGTCTCTATGGGAGCGGCAGCTAGGAGCAATTTGCTCATTATGTGCTGTATTAGCACTGGCCCTGGGGCAGGCATGGAACACAGAGGGAAGCCTGGCTAGACTCCTGCTCTCCTCCTCTGCACTCTGCCTTTACCAGGACCCCTACCTCCTTCCTGTGGGTTAGCCATAGACTTGTTGGCCCAGACAACAGCCAGCGTAAAGCACAGCTACTACTGTAACAGATGAAACTGTAGTCAAAGTGTTGTAGAAGTTCTACGCATCACTGTAGGCACCGGATGTACATGCATGGGGGACAAATCATAGAAAAAATGAGCATGAAGAGCCTCTAGAGCGTCTTCAGTGCTTCTTGGCAGAGATTCCACAAACATGTGGAAAATGAGCTGTATTTTTCCAAAAGATATTTATTCTCTATTTTTTAGGTTGATGGTGGAGAGCACTGTCAGACTTTAGATGTGTTCAGTTCTGATGAGTGTTAAGATCACTGCATATGTTTCACATCACTTCCACACTCATCAAACTAGTCAGTAATCCTTCATGTCTATTATGTGTAATCATGTGTACATTGTTAAGTGCAGTGACAATAGTGACGGTAAAAAATTCTTGATTTATTTATTTTTTATTCTGTAAGAATGCTTTCTAATATATATTTCATTTAAAACAGCCTTGCTCTATGGTCAAATGTAATTATTATATCAAATGCAGTTGCTTAATGTCAGTCTTAGTGGCGGTTGCAATTAGAATTTCATTTTGGCCTTTTTTCTGTACAAAAAAAACAAAGAACTGGCCCATGTATGAATATTCCTCCTAAGTTCAAACATGTTTAATTCATTTGTGTCTGTTTGCATCTTTTAGTCTAAATCTGCTCCCTCTGAGTTTTACAGACACAATCTATCCCAAAGATTTCAGCTGAAGAATTTGTTATTAGTCTGTCATTATTTTGGACAAGTTGATGGGATGGGCTTTAACATCTCGTCTAATGTTACTAGTCGGTTTGAGTTATTGAGCGCAAGACGTTTCTAAGCCATAATACAGGTCAAATGAATCTCTTTGTATTAGGTTTAGATTTCGGATCGTCAGATAAATATATCAACGTTGCTCTTTGAATTTACTTTTCAGGTTAATATGGGTAATGACTGAGAGTTGGTCCTTTTGAAGAGGCTTTTTGGCAGATGGAGTGGAGTGGATGATTTAATTTATGGAAGCCTGCTGTCCTTTTTATTAGGGCAAACGTACAGCTTGCACACAATGAGAATGCAGAGTGTGGGTCCTCCTGCATGTAGCTGCCGTACCGGAGGATGAAACAAGATCAAATATTTATTCTTTCTTTGTCACTGAAGAGGATTTATAATTTGTGATATATATTTTTTTATTTATAATATATAATTACCTATAATTAAAAAGATATTATACTATTATGCAGATGCTTCTCTTCTAAATCTTGACATTTCATTAATGCTTATAATTGTTAATGGATCTTAAGTTCTTATCGTGTCTTTAACAGACAAAACATTCAGACTGAGTTCGTTCAAATTATGGATCAGGTTGAGGTAGAACACCCTCGCTGACTACACTCCAGTCAAAGTTTTGGTTTGATTTTCTCTCCCCTTGAGACACCGGTTTCTTGTAGAAACTTACTTCTTACTTGTCTCCAAAACAACAGGTAGTTCGATTTTGCTTACTTGTTGCTCTGCTTCCAACGCTTACAATAGTTGCTGAAAAATTGAACAGTGTATGAAACACTGCATCTTTTTTATCCAGAAAGCATGATGGCAGCTGGGGAAAAAAAACGCTATGTGCAAACACACCTTGACATTAATGCTGTTATTGTACTGTTTTGATGGAAATTTCCCGTCGTAGAACACTGTGCTGTCGTAGGTCTTACTCACAAACGTACCAGCATTGTTCCATTTAAGATCAGCCAAATCTAAATGAAATTCCTATCTGACACCAAATTTAGCTTTTTAAAAAAATGCAAAGTAAGATAAGTATCTTTAATTGAGCCATTCAAAATTTTACCTTCATGTTATGAACATGTACGGCTCTTTCAGGCCAGAAGTTGTAGACCCTTGAGGTACATTGGGGTATGTCAAAATTTCAAGTTTCTAAATCTGCGATTGCTTTTTTTCATCATTTTTGAGCACTGATAAGTTCATATGTAAAGTAGATATTCAGAAGACATTTTTAGGGCTGAAAATCACATTTTTCAAATTGCTAAAAACTACGACCAATTTGAACCATCATTTTACCCCCATTTCAGGTGTCACAAGCAAAATCTAAATTTTGCTCAACATGATTTTTCTCTAAAACCAACTTCAGCAGATGAAAGGTCTAATTTTTTACCTACATTTCATCTCCAGACTCATCTTTTAGCCTTGATTCCTTCTGTGTCAAAATAATTCTCTAATACAGGCATTTTTTGACAGCGTAAAAGTAAAAATTTAGATTCTGTTCACTCAAGGAATTACAACCCATGATAGTTCCCGGACAAATTTTCCTTGGCCAGTAGAAAAGCAAGAAAAGTGTTGGCTAGCAAGATTACACATCATCACTGTTGTTCATCATCTGATGGTGGAAGTAGACCAACAATACAAACTGACATTATGAAAGTAACGTTAGAAAGAGTCTCAAACAAGCTCGTAATGCTCCTCACTTGTTTATAGAACATGTGAACACCAATTTGCGAGAGCTAAGATAGGTCTATATTAGAATATGGCTTTGATGCAGAAGGAATCATGACTAAAAGATAAGCCTGGTAATAAGATGTAGGGAAAAATTAGGTTTTTTATGTGCTGTAGCTTGTGACCAACCACCTACCCCACATGGTGGCATGACCCTTCAATGTTTACACAAAATGCACTTTTTACAGTTTTTCTCGAGTGAAATATCAGACAACAGATAACACATCCAGGATACCAGTGCTTGTTTTCTACTCTGCATTATGTTGGTGCAGTTTTGGTGATATATTCCATGATTTGGATTCTTACGGGGGACTATAAAAAAAAAATCTGTGCTGAGATTTTGAGTTTAAATTGTGACACTTGGAATGGATGTAAAATTGATTTTGATTGCAGTTTTTTTTTAAACCAGCGCTCAAATGTATTTTACCAGCCCTGAAAGTTTTACATGGCTGTCTTGTGTACTTTGGAAAGTATGAGGGCTCAAATGTGCTGGAAAAAAAATTACATGAAATACTAAGTGAGAAATTTTGAGCCACCCCTGTGTTCTCTCAGGGCTTGCAGCATGGAAAATATTGATTATATTACAATTTTGTACTTAAAAAAAATTCAACTAATTCTGAAGGAGTGAAGTGGGAGGCACTGATGGATTTAATCATGGAATGGTCCACCATGATTTCAGTGAGTCGACTTCACCATAGAACATGTGCTGACCAAACTGTGGTGTTTTGTGTGTTCAGATCCCCTACAGGTCCTGAGCCTGCTCCCCGAGCATCAGGAGAGAGCCAGCCTGCCGCCACCACTGCTGCTTCTGAAAAAGAAAAGCCAGAGGAGACGTAAGACGCCGTTCTTTGTTGTTTTCGTCCTAACTAAATTTGATCATTTCAGATGACTACTTTTTCCATCCCCTTTTTCCATATTTCTGTTGCGATTAGTCACTTTCACACTCACATAACTGTTAAATGTCATACACTGTGATTCTTTCACTCGCTCAGTCTTCACTTAGTTGCTCCATTACTTGCTTGCCCGTCTTATCTTTCACGTTCGCGCAACAGAATGACCAACTCCCTCACTCGTTTAACATCCACATGCAGTTTGCGCATTAGTATTCTCCCTGACTTTTTCACACATTCACCTTCCTGTAATTTGGGTACCTTTGAGGGATTTAATGCAACACAAGTATTGGTTATAGCTACAGCAGCAGCAGCAGCCTTCTTCCTTGTCAAGCCACAAATGGTATCTGAGGGAAGTGCATGGGACTGTGTAGACAGTCTGTCCGTTACGTTGATCCATTGCTCTACTTGCTTCAGAATAAATGGTGAATTCATTTTTGAATGCCTTCAAATGTTGCTGAGGAATATGCATGGGCATTCTGTGGGCAATCCATTAATGTCATTTTCATATAAATACAAGTCTTCATTTTTCCAAATGTGGTTCCACATGGGTGCATTCTTCCAAAATTCTGAATTCGAGAACTTGGCTGAGCATTGTTGTATTGACAACTCTGTGACCACAAACTTTTTTTTTTTTTCCAGTTTGTATATCTTCTTTCTCCTTTCTCATCCCGCATTGTTGCTGTTCTGCGGAAAGAATATGAAATATTTATCAGGGCATCGTGTGTTGAAGACACAATTTCGACATGGTAATGTTGCTGGCATTTGAGATAACGGTTTGCAATGGTGGGCAAAACAACCTTTCTGTGGAAACAGTTTTTATGTTTTTGCGAATGGAATGGCATAAATACGTCTTTTTACTAACCTTTGCAGAGCGATGAATATGGTTTCTTTGACGGCGCTCTTTTACATCAAACTGATTTAAAATGCTGCTTCTAAGCTCACAAATGTGAATTTAAAAGCTGAAGCACTGTGGAGGGAGATTTCTTTTCTATCTGTGTTTGTGTGCAAAACCTACTTTAGAATCCCCCCGCTACTTTTTAATTATCTCACCATAGATGGTTGTCTGCTGCGCGGACCTGATGTGTCCCTGCCTTTTTTCGGCTGTACAAAACCTGCCACAAACAGCGCTGCACCTCATTGTGTTTATGCGCGCGCACACACACACACACACACACAGGTGCATCTCGGGGTGTTTTGACTCGCTCCCTAGTCTGTCTAGACTGGAGATAGGGCAAGACAGGAGTGTGTAGTGGCCCGGCTCCTCTCTTAGTACTTTTGCTTATTTTCCAGCCTGGCCCATTTCTGCTGTTTCAGGCTAGTGAGTGAATGAACAAGCAGGCCCCGGGCCCAGATTGAACTGTGCGGTAATCCTCCCCAAAGCTCCGCCAGCTCACTGATTGCCTTCATTTTTCAGTGTCACCAGCAGGAAAGCCAAGGCAGTGTACCCATGTGAGGCTGAGCACGACTCTGAGCTCTCCTTCCAGGTCGGCGCAATATTCAACGCTGGTAAGTGTTATCGCCTACACCAGTCGCTCACTCAGAACCAGCCCCGGCATATTGGATTTGGAGGAAAACCGAACACCCAATCTGATCTCCAATTGAACATAGAGATGAGACAAGGAGAGGGAGAACGGCGAGTGGTGGGGCGGGAGAATGTCTCTGGGAAGAGGCTCGACTGAGCTTTAATCACTCTCAGAGGAAATGAGGATTTTGTAGTTCCTTTTTTTTTGTCAAAACCCTCTTTTATGAGATACACTGTGTGTGTCTATATATGTACATAAATATATATATGTACATATAGACACTTGCACATGCATTTCTTTCCTGCTTCGTACAGGTACATCAATATTTCATTGTTGGCTGAAACTGTTTAAACGAAATGAAAACAATCGCGAAATCTAAAACAAGCTGAATTTTATTTAGAAACTTATAAACATGAGCTCTATAAAATATTAAACACCAAATGTATAGTAAAGTATCACATTACCATAAACTAAACTGAATCATGTTCTACGGCCCGTCTCCTTTTCCTCCGACTTTATTTTGCAGCTCCACACTTTTGTTTAGCAAAAGTTTTGCTCAAGTGTCTCTCTTTAGATCTCAACTTAAATCTCCAGTTACCCCTGATAAAAAAAAAAAAAAGAAAAAAAAAGTGTGGAGCTTTTCAGTATAGTTTTGCTTACATTCTGTCCTTCTTTATTCAATCAGGCATCAAAGGAAGTACTTGACATTGTTACATAAATGTTACGTGATGAGGTTTTCATTAACTAAACATCGTCTTGCTCTTGAGGACCCTTGACATTTTGCATGTTTTGCTGTGCTATGGAGATATTTCAAAATTTTTTAGTCTCCGCTGTGTGCATAACAAATGTGCAAAAGGTCAAGAGGTTTGAATACTTTACCAAGTCACTGTATATAGAGTTTGTGTAAAGTAGAATTTACCATATGTGGATGTTCCTTACCCTTAAAATTGGGAGAACATCTCTGAATTGTTTATTTTTTCTTAAACCCTCTTGCCCAGTCTGAAATTGTTTGAGCGTGTAGACTTACAGATTTAGTTATATTTAAGAAAATAAAACCATTTTGCTGTATTAAATGCAAACAAACCTGATTAAAACAAATGAATGATGCATTAACAACGAATGACCAACTGATTGTTTTTAATCCCGAGGAGCTGTCAGTCACTTTTGGATTGATAACAAGATCAGATCTTTTACTTTTTGGTGGCGGGTCGACTCGTGTGTGTGTGTGTGTGTGTGTGTGTGTGTGTGTGCGCATTCATGAGGGAAAAAAGTGGTTCTTTTAACTTCCTTACACTTCTAGTTTTTTAGCAGACTGAAAAATTGCAAAACAAAAGACAAACAAGGCTGCTGCTGGACTTTTCAAAACTAGTTGTTTTATTTTCACGTTTTGCGTCATAACAGTTACTGAAAGCTGCATTCTGCTGCCGAGATTCAGCTTCTGGTGAAATTAAAAAACAAAACAAACAAAACACAAAAGGATCCAAAAACAGACCTGAGATGCGCCGTGAAGATAAGAAGGCTGTAGTTTAGTGTAACAGCATGGTCACTGTATCCTCATTTCAACCTCTGCTCTCTTCACTTTAACACGTGCACATGTACTCACTGGAGGCCCCGTGTCCTCTGTCTGTCCCCCACCCTCACCCTCCCTCTGGTATTGTCCCCCCTGGTGACGCTGTGTCCTCTCCTGCAGTGACCCAGTCGAGGGAGCCGGGCTGGCTGGAGGGGGAGCTGGAGGGAAAGAGGGGCCTCATCCCTGAAAACTATGTGGAGATGCTGTAGAACCAAATGGAAATATTTATGGACATGTTTTATCACGTTCACTGGGACGGAGTATGAAAAGATGCACGTGCTTCAACTCAACTCACAATAGAGCTTTTTTTTTTTTTTATATATCCAAAGCCCTGACTTCTCTCAATCAAATGACATTACACGTTATTATTGGTGGACTATTCCAGACACAAGTATATCCATTTCGGCTGGCAAGTACACTTTGTGATGCATGTGCAAACAGGAATTTATTTCGGTCAAGTGTTCGCATGAGTTTCACCCGTTGTAACTGCAAAATGGGATTGCACTTACAGTGTTCTGCTGTACATGAAGATGCTGTAGCCTCGAAATATCCAAGTAACTTCGTAGCAGAACCAGAGAATGAGCGTGCGTCGCTCTCTGCGTCTGCCCACTTATACATGGTATCCATGAGCTCAAAGTCAAAGGGGGATCTTCAGAAACTGTAAGGTAGAATGTCAGCACTGGAGCTCTTGACCCTCTTGACAATGACGCAAATTTGTTTTCAGCTGGTTAAAGATTAGAGATACCTGTGTGCCTTAGCCATAAAAACACCACAAGTGTAAATGTTTGTACGGGTATGTATGAAAATTGGAGTGTTACTGCTTTCACGTATATAATGTTGTATTCTACTGTTGTTTTCAAGAATATCTAGATATTGAAAAATGAGGCACATCGCTACTGTAATTTTATTTTATTTAATTGGCGCATTGATTGCATGAGTTTTGAATTTTTAATACACTCTGTACTGTTTTGTTCTTGGTGCACTCCCTACAGAAACACAGCGAAACGCCTCCGATGCCTGATGAACCCTGTTGTGTTAAACGCTCGCATCCAGCAGTGTGAACAGAGGTGAATTTCAGTAGATAGCAATGATTGAAACCAAGTGTTTTCCCTGTCAGATGATCTGTTTTCTTTGTTTTTAAAAGCGTATGTTCAACGTTGCTCGGTTTCTTCGGAGCAGAGAAATGAGACACTCCCACCAAGTTGAAATTTTTGTATTTTACTATGACTTTATGTTCATTAGAAATCAATGTTTTATCATCAGCAAGACCTCGAAATGCAGTTCTGAATAGGAATTTACATCAAGTTGTACATGTGTTCAGCGTTCATAGCCTAAACTGTAAGGAGTTATGACCAAGTACATCTACTGCCGTTAAGTGATGGGCAGGTTTTAGACTGGTTTTAGCACATCACATGAGGTTTCATCCCTCAGCTGTTCAGAAAAACACTTTTACTTTGGTTCAACGGCTTGTTGGTGTTTTCAATTGCAGTTACAAGAATTTAAGACATTGATTTATGAAGTTCATAAAGGGTCTTGACTTGTCTCTTCTTTTTTTTTTTTTTACCTTTGGGTATCCTGTTGATCAATGTTAAACAAATAAAGATTTTTTTCTTTTACTGTATTGTGTATTCTTGCCACAAAAAAAAAGTGATAAATGATTTTTAATTATGCAATAATAAGGCCTAATCACATTTTTCTTTAAATTATTGAAAGCAATTCTTACTTCTTATTATCTCCGGCTCTAATGGTGCTGATGACGGTTACAGCAGCCTTTTAGATTGTATTGTTTTTCAAATTAAAGCCTACACATTATGTATGGATCAAAGAGAAATGAGAAAAAACACCCACTGACTGAGATTTCTAATTATGTGTAACTGTTTAACTTTACAATTGGGAAATATGTATAACTTGGTTAATGTGAAATCTAATTTTTTATTTTTTAAATTTTTTTTGCTGACTCATCCATCGTGTGACTGAGACAGCCCCCAGATTCCTACAGAGTCTAAGAATAAAGTGACTGGTGAAATGCAGATTCATTCTGCAGCCGGTACTGACACACTGAGCCATGTAGTGTAATGTAAGCCTTCCTCTTTATATTGACCTGCACTGGTCCATCTGACTAAAAGCTGCTTCCAAAATAACTTTCCATAAGGGGATTAAAAATAGATGGTAATCTTTCACAGAGGAAAACACGCTAATCCACCTCCTCCTCCCCGATCCATTAACATCTCAGCCTCATGCATGTTAATTCTTAGACTACATCTGTGTAATTAACACACCAAATGGCCTCCAGATCTCAGCGCTTTGGCCTCAGTTACATAATTACCATCGGTCCACCACCACCACCACCACCACCACCACGCTCAGACCTCCAATAAGTGGACTGATGCACTGTTTAGCAGGATAAACACACACACACACTTAGAGCGATATTAAAGGTTGTGACTTAGGTTTTGGTTCGACGCATGTCCACCGACTTGCTGGAGCAACGCGGTGATAACGTAATGAAATGAGGCAGAGTTAATGACTTGGGCAAAATATTCCCCCAGAATCACTGCGAGCATCCACCGCCGGGGCCCTTCATCATCTTCCCTCCGCCGGAATACTGCTGAATCATAGAGACATCCGCCCTGCCTGCCTCTCACTCTGCTTTGGACTGTCTGTCAGAAAGCATGCCACGTTGCTCTAGCTGCCTTCCTTTCTCCCGTTTCTTCTGCCTCCCTGTCTGTCTCTCAGTAGTAATTAAAACTCCTGTCTGTTTTTTCCTCGACATGTTGTCTTCCCTTCAGTCAGGGCTTCACTTTTCTGTTGCCCTAACAGTAATTTAAGAAATGAGGGAAGTCCTCGGTCATTAATTAAACCGCTAAAATTCATCTGTGTGTTTCAAAGTTACACATTTAGTTTTTTCCCTCCATGATAAAGACTCCTTCCTTGCCTTCAAATGGCTTTCATGTGACTCTGCACCAAATCTATCGAGTCCCTGCCTCGGTCTTCACCCGCCCATCCGCCACTCGCTGCTGCTCGAGCACACCAGCTTCCCTTTCAACTCTGCTCAGCTACTCTGCGCTACACAATGGCATGTTTTGATAGTTGGATGAATTCAGCCATACATGTTCAAACGGGAAACTGAATCTGAAGAGGAACAATGATGCGGAAAGTCCCACCTTGCAAGTTTACATGATTGGTTCCTTAGGTTTGATATGAAATCCTGGAAGTCTAAATCCGTGTGTTTTTTGAGATTGTCATCGGTACATTGCAGTTTCAAGGTGGAAATGTTGAGCCGTAGCTGCTTTTGTGTGCTCGTGCTGTGTCCTCCAGCGTATCAAACACACCATATGGACATGTTAACAAGCTAAAGTACTTGATTGTCACCGGAGGGGGTCTTTAAGCGCCGTGCATTTATCAGTTCTCTGTGTGAATTTGAACAATAGTGTTAATTTGGGTGCGTCACCTTCACATCTGAGGCCTTTGAGCTGCCTTCATATGACTAGAGTCTGAAGTTGCTTTACCTGTGGTGATTTGTGTGTCTCCGCATGCATTATGCATCAGTGTGTGTCAGACTGGGATGATGTATACATCAGTGTCACCGTGTCCATTTAGACTAGATGTAGGTGTGTTTGAGTAAAAAAATCCAGATAGACGTGTTCATTTCTCACCTCCTTGTCCTGGCTGTGTGCCAGCTGTCCTCTACCTCCCATGACGCAGTGTCCTTCAGCCCGAAAACACGCCACACCGTGACTCAGCTCAGATCAAAGCTCTACAGCCGGTTACCTGTAACTGTGAGAAAATGACACAACTAAAGTGCCACCAAATGTGTGTGAATTTCCCCAAACGTGCTGGTGTCGAGGTTACGCTAACTTAATACTTTCCTGTGTCTTCGTGTGGTTCCTTCGGAGTGCAAAGCTCAAATAAAATCATCATAAGACTTGATGCGTTATTGGGGGTGAAAACTGACTGGGAATTTGGAGAAAAGTGAATTTCAAACATAAAGGAGCGACTGTGGAGGGAAAAAAAAAACAAAAACCCTCAGCTCAGAAAGTGGGCCACAGAAGCCGCCATGTGCGCGGGTGCAGCCGTGAAATCAGCCTGATCCAATAGATTCTGTTTATCTGGCACGACTACAAGTGAAAGCAATTGGAAATCTGGGGGAGATTTGGAGAGGGCTGTGGATTCGGAGAGAGAGAAAAAAAAATGAGCAAAAAAGTAATACTGTCTGCTCTACAGTCTGGCAAAGCAGGCGTGTTTTCAGATCAGCCTTTAACAAGGTTAATGGTGATTTTTCTCCACAGGCAACGTTTTACTGTAAAAGTCTCATGCTTGCACGCTTCCTCTCTGTCATTTTTCTTCTTTTCTCTTCCCGTTCTCCTTTGTTCTCCTCATCTCCTCTCTTTGTGACTGTTGTACCTGCTGCTGCTCCACATCATTTCTGTTTTCCCATGCTAACACTTGTGTTTTTTGGCTCATTATCCTCCCCAGCCACCAAATGCAGCTGTTTCAAAATTCATCCAGATCAAACAGCCCATTTTTTTTTAGGGCACCTGTCCTCGCTTCAGTCTCCTGGTATAAATATCATCACACACACACACCTAACATACATATACAAACAGAACACATGACATCAAATGATCAATTTAACGGTTTTATTAGAATCTTGCAATAGTTTTGCAAACACAAGTATGGCAATATCTGCATCAAGATATACAGTATTAACTGGTTTCAAAGATGTTTTATTGGTTCATGGTGAGGGATGTCTACTGTATGTTTGCTGGATAGTTTGCTGAGAAATATTGTACAAAGCATCTGAGTAAAAAGTCATTTTTTGGAATTGGAAAAAAAAAAAAGCATTTGTATATATTAATAAGAAATGCACTGCCATGGCTGTGGAGATATGGCTTAGTCTCTCTGCACCCGATTCATTACTGTGAACAGGAAAATGGCAATGACGTGACTCCACATACAGTGACGCAATAGTGTACTGTGAAACAGCAGTTGGAAAATTCTGAGTCATCCACGCCGAAAAAGAGAGTAAATTTAGAAGCAGACAGCTCTGAAGATAACGTCGCTCCCTCGAGTATGGGAAAGGTTGTATTTTCTAGTTTGCAGTAGGTGTTGATTGATGACCATTAAATAAACAGTACGTTAATCTAGGTTCTCTGAAGGATTTGTTCGGCACTTTGGGAAATATTTGCTTTTTGCAGAGAGTCAGGTGAGAAGTTCAATACCATTTTCAGATCTGTCCCCCCGAAAAGAGAACTCCACCGATTTACAATGTCATTTTTCTGACTTTGGCGTTACCCACGATGAACTCGGCCACTTATTGTTCCAACTCCATCTATCTGCAGTCGCCTGGTACTGCACGTCACCTGAACCGCATTATACCAACATCACTTTTACATTTTGAGGTGAAGACATGTTCTTAAGGTTATGCTTACACTGTTAATGTTATGAATAGGTTATGTTAACTTTATGATAAGGTTAGGCTTAAGTCAGGCTTAGAATAAGGGGGTGCGTTGGATAGTCTGAGGCTGCAGATAAACCCTTCTTGATAGTGTTGTTAGAGTTTCAGTGGCTTTTGTAGCCTTGAGCCACGACCTTTAAGTCGAGGTTCAGAGTGGGGCTGCAGATGTCTGGTGACCTCACTTCTGTCCAGCTCTGCACCACAGACCCTTTTCATTTTCAAACGTCTTGGCCTTGAGCCTCAACTGACATTGTGTCAAGTGAAAGTTCTCTCCTTTCACCATGTCGGTGTGACAGTTCTCGTCTCCCTGCAAGCAAATGTTCCGATAAAACAGTTCAACCCGTCATTATTTTTATGGAACACCATTGCTGCATCCTTGGCTTGACTCCGCCCAACACGATTGGTTTTAAGGAAATAAAAACCAAGCCAGAGTGTTTTCTTCCCACCTATAGCAGAATGATGCTGAGGTGCAGCCAGACCATGCAGGACTATATTTATCCTATAGACAGTGCAGTGGTATTGATCTTCTCATCCAGCTCTCAGCAAGAAAACAGTATATTTCCCAAAATGTGAAACTGCCTTCAGGTAGCCAAAAAAAACAAAACATGTAACCACCAGTCAGAGCTTATATTTCTCGAGGGCTGAAGGGTCTTAAAGGGCCTTGATAACATCACCGATAACATCATTCACCATTATCAAGAATCTGCTACCACCTGTACCAACAATCCTAACGTTTTTTTGTTTGTTTGTTTTTTACATTTCCATTCTTTGGGTCAAATAATTGATTTTGTAGCTGGACCTTGCTTTGGCAGTTAGTGCAAGATGTCCAACAACTGATGAACAGTCACATTTTGAATTGGCCAGATGTCAGGTACACTACAATCTCCATCTGTCCATTCTTTCATTCTGTGTGTGCACAAAGTTTTCAATCTAAAAAGTCAAGAACTTTCTTTCACGTATCCCAGGTTCAATAGTTTGTGACTTCTTGATTTTATTGTAGTGCTCATCAACAATACCGCCATGGGTTAGGAAATCATTTTTAACAGCAACGAGGATCCATCACTTAGTACATCTTGTTACAAAATAAGAAATACTTTTTGATTTTTTTTTTTTCTTTGAGCCATGTGAACAATGATGCAAAAAGTAAAAAAAAAAAAAAAAAGAAAGGAAAAAAAAAAAAGATGCAAAATCAAATAACTTTACTTAATAAGAACATAAGAAATGTACTCTCTCTAACATTCAGGTAGTAAGTTCCATAAGTCTCTCACAATGTATGATACATTCATTTCTCTATTTGGCCCTCTCTGGTGCCAACCCTTACTGTAAATTCTTCTCTGTGATCCAACACACAGAACATGGCGAGTGGGAAACACATATTTTTTTTTTTTCCAATATTCCAACAAGATGGTTAAAGTAGAAATGTTTTATACTATACTCAACATAAGGACTTGCTGTATTATTTACAATATATACTGTAAAATTGTAAATCAGGTGAGATAAAAAGGCACAAGTTTCCCTTTTTTTAAATACAATGTAAACATCTCATCAAAAAGCATGCAATAACATTTCATTTTACAAAAAGGATATCATTTTTAGACAAAGTACTTAAATATTGTTTTCCAGCAAAATATAATTCTCTCAAAAATACTTTCCCATTCATCCTATGAACCTTTAGACAGTTTTTTTTTTTTTTTAATTCCTTAAAAAGGACAAAAAAAGGGGCAAAATAAAGAAACAGTGAGAGATTAGCGTAAGGGCAAACAAAGACGGATTGTAAAATGAGGCCTTTCTGATCAGGTACTGTACAAAAATTATTGCGGTTGGGAGCGATAATAATAAATCAAATCAATTGCATTGAGCCGCTAAACATTAAGGTCTTTAAAAGCCATCCAATGAGTGAACCAGGTCCGCGCAGCAACCTCAAATTTTTGTCCCAGAATTACTGAAGAAAATCTAATTTTGGAATGAGAAACAGTTGAAACCCAAATCCCACAACAAATATAGACTACTGCTCCTTAAGCAAAAATTGAATGTACACAATCCCCCCTCTCTTTTTTTTCAGACCCCCTTCAAGCCGCCTTATAATTTCCGCACAGTCTTGAACGACAGTTGTGATCCTGACACCTCCATCTCTTTGTATGCTAATCTTCAAACAATTACCACCACAGAAGAGACCTCATAGTGTAGCACAGCGCCGTCATTACGAGGGCCGAGGCCACAAATACAGTACACAACCACCCCGCTGTGCTAATGATGTCATGTCTAACGTTAGTCTGGGTGACCATGCAGAAAGTCTTTTACCGCATTATCACAGTTGCTTATCGAAACAGACAATTCCTGCTAGCTGCACTAATGCCTCATTTCACATTGTATCTCCTCTGTGCAAATCTAAATGTGGAAATAGGATATGGCTAATCCTATAACATAAATGCATAATACCCACGCTGAAAGAGCAGATCATCTATGCACATGCTTGCCAGGAAAAAAAAAAAAAAAAATAGCACACACACACACAAACTTAAGCCATACTCACTCCATACACACATGTAAATACACACTTACAGGGCACAAAAAAAAGAAAAACAATAATAATCACACCCCCCACTCACACAGTTTTTCTTCCCCAGCGACTCTGTCGCTTTTCAGTAGCATCATAGTAGTGTTCCACGACCACCAAGAAACCAGTGGGGTGTGAGACAAGTTAATGGTCCAGATGACTGGGCGTGCCATACTTAAAATAGTAGTACTTGGCCCAAAGATAAGAAAAAAGAGAAAACTAAATTAGGAAAGGTAATCATACCAACGCAATAGTCTGTTCTTCATCAAGCATTCATCAACATGTACCTCAAAACATCTTCTGTACAACAGCTGAATAGAATGTGTTTAAGAAGTTGTTAATACCTCTACACATTTGCCTGGTTTTGATACATTAGCTGTTTGCTGTAAGCACTGCAGAGTAACGCTCCATTTTGGATAATATCAACTTTACAGAGTATGCGTGTTTAAACTTGGTGTCCATATAGTGTACTGTATGGACCGTCTACGAGTTACTGTACATGTTATGTTTTGCCTGGCTTTGTAGAAATGAAGCACCTTAATGTAAAATGACTGGCTTGTCAAAAACTAAACCTTTGCAACACACTTTTATAAAATGCTTTTTATTATTTCTGGGAAGAGTAGATAAGTGTTGGTTCACAAAGGGCTGGTTTTGCTTCATTGTGAGTAAAAACAGACATTTGGACAGCTGCTCTGGAGATAACACAAATGACAGCAATTACTATGGATGCACCTCTGTCAAATCCATTACCAGCGGACTCTACTGAAATTGTTTCCGTAAATGCATTATGTTTTCCATCCTGCAGCACTCCTGACCATTTTTGCACAAAGGTAAAATCTCTCATCAATATTGTCTTAATTCTACACCACAGTGCCTCTAAAATAGTGACTTTATGACATGGGAGCTTCACGCGCAAGCTTTCTTTACACAAGAGAGACATTTTTTATTTCAAAACAGCTTTAGCTTTGGACTTTTGCATATTAGTTTTGATTGTTTTACTACACATTTTGAAACTTTAAAAAACTCAGTATGTGAATGTCAATGATGGCTGTTATGATACCAATCGAGATTCAAACTTGGACTTGTTAGATTTCATGTAATTATTCAGCTTATGATGACGCTTGTATAGCCCTTGGAATATATTCAAATAGACCTTTCGCCATACAGTCTAGAATTTCTGTGCCTCCTCATAATGTCCTTTGCCCTGTAGTCTTGTTGCTACACTGCAAAGCAAATCTAAGTATTGGCATAATTTTTCATAGTGCTATTATTTGTGAAAGACTGCATAAGCCAGAGTTAATATTTGCAAAACCTTTTTTCTCTAGATTTGTAAGGGAATCTCATTTTAGTGCATGTGGAGTGCATCTGTGCGATTGTGTGAAGGCATGTGGACAGTAGGTGTGTGTCAATTTCCCCTCTACATGTGTGTGTGTGTATGTGTGTGTAGTGAACGTATCTAGCGCATCCTAAGAAATGTATGGCTTTATCTCCATAGAAAATACTGTTATCGTCTTTGGGGCAGGGGGACATGGGGGTACTTCGGGATGCTTTGTCACATTTGTCACAAGTCCTTCTCGGCGTGTCGTGCTCGGCTTCTCAAACTATTCACAGCTCTGAATCGCTCGTGGTGACTGCAGGGTCAAATCCTTCTTCTTCTCTCTCTCTCTCTTTTTTTTTGTGTTTTTGTTGTTGTTTGTTTTTTGCGTCTGTCACCGCATCACTTAACTTTCCAAATCCAAGACGAGGACGCTGGCATACTAGGCGACAGGGTGCAGGCCGACGGGCCAGGCCTTCCTCGCGCATTTTTCCTCTTCCCTGAACTTCTTTCTCCTCCTTTTTTCCAGTTCTTAATGCCGCTTCTGTCCCAGCTGTGTAGCGAGTCACTTCTTGTGGAAGTAGATTGTGTGAGTGAGGCCCGACTCCACCTTTGGTATCTGGTCACTGATGATCTCCACCAACATTTCGGGGAACTCCACCTTCAGGGCCTGGGACTCACGAAAGGTGTAGAAACAGAAGTCCAACAAGTTCCCCACCAGCTAGACATCACAAGCACAGAAATTAGTGAGAAACAGTCTTTAATTGTAGTTTTTACATAAAATGTTATATAAAAAGTTTTGGGTTTTTTCCTCTAAGCATGCAAAGTAAATGACTGTATAATCATTCATGCATCTTCTCAGCAGATTTAAACCCCTTTTCAGTTCTAGTCAGCTCACCACTTGGGGGCACCACTGATTTTTTTCTGGACAGCCCTCCTTTAAAAAAGGTCATCCGCTCAGCACTAACCCCATTCACTCAGTCATTAGGGTTATTGAATTCTGTCCATTTGTCTCTATGACCTCTCGCTTGCCGGCTCTCACCTCTTGAGGCTTTGCCTACAGTACTTCTACCATGCACTGGTTACCCATGTGTAAAAAAATAACAGTGATTTAGCACATTTGCCACGTTGACCACTGTGTACTGTGATCCAATAAACTGCAAGCTGGTATTGATCCCCTTCTGTTCCATTCACCAATACAGCCTGGTCTCCGCCTCTTCCAAAATAACCTCTCCCTCAGGGAGAAAGTGGGATGCAATAATCCTTATTCCAAGCCACAGCCCCATTGAACCGCTAAGTAAACGCATTATCCAAATCCACTATGTTGCCATTTTACTCAAAACATTCCCAGTGATATTAGAGCACCGAAGTGCCATTGGACACCTCGCTCTGAGTGTGAAGGCATGCCAGGGGAAGCCTGTGCTGTGCGGCAGACAGGGCAAGGGTACTTACATCATGCATGGCATCCAGCAGCTTGGTGAGCTGGAAGAAGCGCTGCCAGGTTTGGCCAGAGTTGTTGGTTGCTTTTCCCACTGAGCGCCGGAGCTCCTTAATGTAATTAACCCTCATCTCCTCGAACGCCGCCTGGTTCTTCAGACCCTCTTTGGGAACTGGGAAACAGACAAATCCTTCTGTCATCGACTGGATTCAATAAAACTGCTTTAAATGTCACTAATCCAATGCTGGCAAAAAGAAAGTATTTCAAGTAATATGAAACTTGAATGGATACAGGGCAGATTTATTATAAATGTAATAAACCTGTTGGTTGCTGACATGATCGGTGTAGATTTATATTAAGTAGCAAAGTTCCATTTGTTGTAAATAAGGAGCATTTTCTCCAACTGTGTCTTTATCACAAGGACGAAACTTGGGCTGCTGCACATTTTCAAATCTCTTGACATTCATCTTCAAGAATGTTGTCACACAAACATTCAAGTGGCTGTGGAGTCGGGTTGTGTTAGAAAATATGAATTTGTCAAGCATCAGATATGTGGACTTGCTGTTAAGAGCACACTAGTTCTCGTATTATATTAAACCACTGTGGGCAATGTTGTAAACGAATGAGCAAGGATATTTGAAAATATTTGAACATTATATATTGCCAAAAAATAATAATAATAATCACAATTATTTTGATCAGTGTTGAGACCTTGTTGTTTTAATCACAATTATTTATAGATTTTAGGGACACAATATTTTGGTTGCACCTTCACATTTAAACAGAGAACAGCTTTCACTCTCATGTTGTGCAATATTTCTGCTCCAATACTATTTTTTGCATCAAAATAAGACTGGTCTTTATTCACAGTGCATCTCCTCTAGGCATAATACAGATACAATTGGACCAAAACTTTTTCCTCAAAATTAAATCAACAAAGCTGCTTTATGTGTGATAGAGTGCAACACGGTGATGCACTGCAGCCTCTCTGGTGTGGATGTCTGAGGTGATGCTGGACATTAACAGAGGTTCAGTGAGGTGAAGTTATTCTTCTTGGCATCATTGTGTTTATCGTACTGCAGTTTGTGGTCTTTTTTTCCAGGGGGTTGATCAGTTTTCAGTGCAGAAACGAGCTGCTTAAAGGTGAAATCTGCAATTCTGGACAAGGATTGTGGATGTTTAGCTACTTAGCATATATACACATGTGCCAGGTTTACTGTCCCACTCCCTCTCACTGTCTCACGTCTCCCCTCCCTCATCCCATGTACTGGTGCAGACAGATGTTTTTTTTTCAGCGTACACAGCATGAACAGCTAGCAGACTGTGAAGAGATATTCACTGAATTTGACCAAAAAAAAAACAAAAAAAAAAAGCATATTGGATTAGAATCACATACTCTGCTTTTTAACATCACTTGCCCTAAATCCAAAATACTTCCAAACAACAAATGATGATCTGTTTTGAGGGTCTAGCTCTTCACCTTCTGTTCCAGACATTTGATTTTCATTTTGGTGAGTACTACTCTTCCACTCTGGACTGCAGCCACAACAGTCAGAATTCTCTTTTTTGCACAAGGTGCCGCTGCAGGGGTTCGTGCACGGCGGCGTTGCGGCTCCCCGACAGTGAAGCCTGAACACCTCCATCGAACCCCTGCTGGCCGATCGTGGCCGTTTAATCATGGGAAGCCCAAATCGTGATTGAGATTAAGAGTGAAATAATATGCAGCCTAGACTATTTCATGACAATACTTTGGATTGTTGGGTTTGAATTTGTAAGGTCCATACCGTACCATGAGATGGGACACGTTAACTGCGCTATACAAATAGAATTGACTTGACAACACTGAGGTTTAATTTTAGTTTTGTATCAATATAATAAGTACTGAAAGTGCAAAAACAGACATCTCTCATCTGGTGTTTATTATTTAACTATTTTTAAAAAAAAGTAAAAGTACTGTATGGTAATAAAACTCAACACCACAACATAAATAAAATATGTTGTCATAGCGTGGGCAGTAATTCATTTTGCTCTTCTAGTTGGCTGTATATTTTAGATATTATCATGAGGTACTGCAGTGTCTCCTTTATTTTGCAATGCATTTAAAAAAAGACATTTAATTTACCAGTTATATATCCAACTTAGACAACAAATAATAAGCAGCCATAATGTAGATGTCACTCTTTTAGTTTCTGTCAGAGGTTTATGATCATTTTTTCTTCCTCTCGAAAAAGACATCTCAGTGAGGATAACTGATCGAATAAAGGTTTAAAAACCTAATTAAGCAGCCAGCCAACAATTCATTCCCAGCTGCTCGAGATGCCATGAAAGTATCACCCAGGGACTTTATTTTTTTGTCAACTATAGATTGTTCAAAAGCACAATTTGTTATCAATAACACAGAGCAACTATTATGCATTTTATAAATTGGTTGGCAAATGTACATCAAGCGTGATTTGTAGTTAATGTGAGAAGTCATGCACAAACACCAGCATGTTCCTTTAATCCAGAAATGTGTAGCTGTGTAAAGCTTAATTAGAGGTGCTCAGTGAATTATGCTCCCGACTCCCACACAGTAGCCTTTTTTTGGACATTTTTCCTATGTTGACGACCTAAGCCTATTTAGCAACTCATTACAACCACTTTCACCATTTCAAGTGGTAATTAGTTTTCATGTGCAGCCACTGATTCATGAAAGACGACTGGTATAGTGAAAGGCATTGATTAAAAGTTATCTCGGCAACAGTGGCAGCAAAAGAAGAAGAAGAAAAAAAAAAAAAAAGGCGAGGAGACAACAGTGCTTATGTGAATTCAAGGGCTTAATAATTTTGTCAACCAAACCTCATTTATCATGCAGTTCGCTCGGTGACCAGAGGTATTAAAATAGCTACAACATTCATTCATGTTATAATCATCTGGATTGTGGCATCAGTGCACTCAAGTTAAAAGGCAGTGTAATGGAAATTTAGACAAATGTGAAGATTATGATGCAGAAACTACACCATGAGGATGCATCAAAAAAAAACGTCTACAGTGTCTGTTTTCTCTCAGTCTTTCTCTCTCTCCCTGTGCACGAGAACAAAGTCACATATATGGACGTCTGCCAGACCTCTTAAATGACATTCAGCTGCTGGCTACCAGATTAAGAAACACGTCGCCTCTCAAAGAGCCTACATCAAATCAGTGCGAGGAAACGCCTTCAGCTGTCCTTTAGCCAAAACTAGAAAATGATGATATATGCTGACAGAAAATGTGAGTTTGTCAACTGTTTTGCTGGGTGTCTATGCTAAAGTAGCTGTTTTCAATACCTGTACTTTGATTTGTCAGGTATTAACAGACACATCTTTCTGTTTTTTAAAATATATGAAAAAGCTGTAACAAATGTTTTATTCTTATTATTTCATATTTAGTGATTAATCTCTTAGTTTCATGATTTAATTAGTCAAATCACTGAGTAGCACTGTACAATATCAAAAAAATTGGCAATTAAGCACGTCCCTTATTAGGTTTGCTATCAGATATAAAGAAGAGATCCTAGCATTTATGAAGCTGGAACCAGATTATTCTGAATATTATTATCATTATTTTTAACTGACTGTAACCATTAATTGATTGTTATTAATTGCTGCACATTAATTTTCCGTTGGTCCACTAATCAGTCGTTGTTGCAGGTCAAATTTACATCCGTTTTCTATTATTTTTTCCAGAAAATATACAATATCACAATACACTGTATATTGCGATATTAAAGTACTACAAGAGAGGAGATTGATAAAAAAAGATTGAATCACAGTGATGTACAGTAGTCTGGGCCTCCTTTGCACAACAGCTACTAGTCATCCACTGTTTCATCAGAGAAGTCAGATAAGCTCTAAATCACATGTGACAGATTGTGTGTAGAGAACTAGTGAACTGACCAAAGCCACAGTCAACAGATGTGTCTGCATCCACAGAAGACTCTGACATGGTTAAACGTGTCGACGAGAGGCAGCAGCATTTGTGTCTCATAAATTTCTGGGTTTCTGACACCTTTCAACATATGAATTGGCATTCTGAGCATAAATGGTTTGAGTGACCTACCCTCACAAGTTAAATCAGGTTATCATCTTCAGTAGTTTTGAATGCCTCAGATAAACCTACAGTAAACCACTTGTAGGAATGATAGCAAAACCCGGCAACTGACAGGACCTGTTTGAATTCTGCAGAGTGAATAGCCATAGGCGAAAGCCTGCTTCTTGTCAGTTAGGATTGCAGGTTTTGGAGAACGGATCATTGTAGGTCAATAACTCTGAGAATGTGTGTTTGTGTGTGTTTGGCTGCCTCCCTCCAGTGCTCTCTTTCAGACTCTTTCTATGTAATTCTTTTCATCATACTTTGATGCACAAACACCTGCAGGCATAACATACGTGAAGTTGAAGGAAGCAGATATGAAAACAGATTGTACCCTGGTGCAGAGGCTGTGTGCTTCTGTGCTGTATTTCATGGCTGACATGATGAGAATGTGCTAAAACCCAGGGCCACATTTGGACCTTTTGTTTTTCTCCCACTGACCCACATACGCCCTGATTAGAAACTGACCTGGCATTCAGGGGCGTTACCAGGACTGGCCCCAAAATAGGGCATTTATACCAGCATAATTGGTGTCAAATTGATTTTCGCTGCAGGTATAGAGCCTGTTCAACTAGGCCATATTTCTTATTAGGCGAGCAGCTCCATTATTGTGCATGCAACACACCCAGGAAAGCTCTTTTCCTAATGCATGGAAGATAAAGAAGCACATAATGTATCTCAGACAGCTAGGAGTTACCGTTAGCATGCGTGTTGTTCTAGGACGTGCAGCCTCCTGCTCTCAGTTGCTAGTACATACCTAACTGACAGGGTGGCTCTGGGCTTTGATTTAATACCTGATACTATTTATTAGAGAAGTTTACAAGTAGCCCTAATCAACGCCACAATAACCGGCCGGTAAAAGTCCAGGGTGTTGTCTAACAGGAAATGTTCATTCAAACATCACGCAAACAGACTAATGACTGGTTAGAACGACAATTATCACTCTATTTTTAGCAGCGAGCAGTTAAGTAGTAAAATGTGTGACATGAAAAGCTCTCCATCCGCTCCGTAAACACACTGCACACTTGTCCCATCTGGAATGTGGCAGCCATTTCGGGAAAAAAAAGCAAGTAGATGGTTTAGAAAACGGAGCGAATGAATGAGATAATCTAGCAATGCCATCTACATCTGCGTAGAGGTGAGGAGTGTAACTGGTTTGAGCAGGCCGCTGCTCCTGCACCAAATCCAAACAGGGTCATGAGACACCGCAGGCTCAGTGAAACCTTAGCCAAGGTCAGAGAGGAATAACAGCCCTTGTCTCTTTTCTCTTTATCCCCCCTTCCTGCTCTCCGTTTCACTCGTTCACCCTCTCTCTACGCGGTGCGTACACTTTTTCGAACCAGCCCAAAGGCACACACACACTCAGTGACTCTGTAGTACTTGCTCAGCTGACAAGTTCTGACACCTCCTCTGTAAACATTTCTACCACTACTCCTTCCACAAGGCCCGAGCATTATATCTGAATGACTGTAACTAAGAGAGCTTCCTACAGCGCCTCAGAAAAATCCTGCAACACGCGGCTTCTTTTTCGAAATTATTCACAAGCGCTTTGCCAAACCTCCATACAGAGCAGTCGCTCCATCATGTGGACTTTGGAATAGACATGAGAAATGAAGCACGGGATGATTATTTTCTTGCCACATCCCTCATATTTTACAGTTATATTTTGACTAAATCCAATAACCACAGCAGATTGAACTAACTGTGAAGCACCTTAAATTCTCTGTTTTGATTCTCCATCCCTGCTTCTTTCATCCACACCCTCTCTTTCAAAATTCCAGCCCGGGTTTCAAGGAAGTGGAGAAAAATAGCAGGTCTTGGAGCTCTGCCTGGTGCTTGACTGGCCTTTATTAAGTACAGCAGGGCTCTCTGGAAAACCTCCAGAGGACCAGTGAGGAGAGGAGAGGGAGGCCACAGCAACAGAAGGACCAGCTCTGCCACCCCACCACTCCCTTTGTCTTCTCTTTCTTTCTCCCTATAGCTGTGCACCTGTCTCTTTCTCACCAACACTAGCTCTCACTGTCAACTTTTGTCTGATTCCACTCTTTAAATCTAACGTTTCCCTCCTGGTTTCTTATTCTCTTTGTATAGTCTCGCTTCGTCTCTTCCAACATCCAATAGCTGAAGTCCAGCTGGAGCTCCCTTCCTTTCAGAGTTTGTATTGGGGAAATGCTTTCACATCGCCTCTTCCATATGCCACTGCACCATGCAGCCAAACCAACTTTATACCGTTGCTCCTGGAAATGTTGTATGTTTGACAAATTTTTTATGTACAAAGTGTGAGTGGCATTTTAATTATGTTGCTACTATAATCAGATAGTTTTTACTATTTTCTACACAGGTTATTTTTGGGAGATTAGTCCAATAGTTTCAAGCCTGGGGGTTGGGGTGGGGTATTCTGAGGGTCAATAATTTAAAAAGAACAATGTGGGAGAAGAGGGAAAAGCTTTCTTTGGCAATTTATAAAGCACCTTTCTATACAATTATCAGTGAATTTGATGCAAATTGTTGAAAGTAAATGTGAATTGGGCTTGTTTCTATGAGCTGCTCTGGTATACGTAGACAAAACAGAGTTGAAGACGCCCGAAACAAAACTAGAAACAAACAGATCTTCTGCATAAAAGTGAACACAAATCTTCAAGTTGTAATTATTCTTTAATGTCAGCTGGTATTAGCCAAGTTTCATATGGTTCTGAGGTGAAGATAATGAAACAAAACAGCTGATGTTTGCTGCGTCAAAACCTAATCGAAAAAGATGTTTCCATCAAACAACCAGTTTCAAATTCAAACTAAAGCGAGTGTAAAAAGTGCAAAATTGGGGATGTTTTTTGGGGAGTTTTGCATGTGCTTTGTTCTATTGCAATACTTCAGTAATACACAGAAACATAGAGATCTGAAAATGAGTACTGACTAGTAACCACTGTGGCCAAATAAATGTAGTAGAGAAAAAAGTGCAATATTTCTCCCTGAAATGCAGAAAAGCAGAACGCATGCAGCTACATAAAATGGAAATACTGACATTAAAATTTCTCTTTTACTTTAGTCATGAACTTAAATGATGACCGATGATGACTAACTTCATAGGAGCTGCACGTTATTATCAAAAAAATCTCCAGAATATAAGTGATGCAAAATACTTCCACCAACTTTCCTATTATAACTTATTAAGAAACAATGATGTCAACTAAACGCTTGCATCTGAGTGTAAGAACTGATTTACACTGAGGCTACATTTCAAAGAGTTTGAGGTTTGGCCAGTATGCAACCTCCTCCAAATCACTCTTACTCCACCTATCCACACCTCTTTAACTACGGAACATCTACGGATACACAAAACCCCACCGATGACGCACACATAAATAGAAGGCTGCAGCAGGTCTCGTGTCCCAGTGTAGCTTTAAGCGCTGCTGCGGTTACCTTTTTTCAGTAACTGCAAGTGTGGGTGTGGACGGTGAAGTTATGACACAGCTGCCATCACGGATTATTTAACTGTTACTATTGAACTGACAGCAGCAGCTCACACTGTGTTGAGGTGGTGGAAAAACCACTGCTTTCAGTTTCCAACTGAGCAACTTGGTCCAACACATCTTCTCTGTGAGGCTGCAGTGCCTGTGGGCGCACTTTGGCAGAGAGCGGCGTCACGGTGAGACCTCCTTTAGTGAGTGATAGAAATATTCTGTTTATCCACGGCAATTAAAAAAAATAAAATAAAATAAACCAGAGCAGAATAGCCTTCAGTCAGAGATTAGAAAAATGACACTGACTCACTTTCCTTTTGCATATACTGAATGTGGCGACATCAACAGGTGCGTGCAACATCAAGTCTATTTTCACACTTGTGATCAATGTTAACGGATTACTAAGAATGAGCTTAGAGCTTGATCTAACAGACTTTACAAAAGCATGATTGTGGGTGCCAGGCAGGCTGCTCCTGCCAACACCGTCTCAAAGGTGTGCAGTGGAACAGAACACAAGACATCTTATCAATACGTTTCCTATGTGAGAGGCAGAGTAGGAAGGTGGGAGATGTGTCTCAGGCCGTAGCAGTCCACATTATGACAGCTCCAAACCACAGTAGTATATTTAGTTGGGAGGAATTCGCAGTCAACAATCGCACATGAATTACATATGGTGACTTTTTTTTAAGGCTGATTCTGCTACAAATAACAGTTGATGTTCCTATATTTTAGTGTCTCAGGCCAGATCTGGTCTTTTTTCCACCTGAATTGTATCCTAGTGATGTGGAAAATGCTTTGAAAGAGTTCACAGCACACTGATGAAGTAGATCAAATTAACAGGAAATGTAAAACAATGGATCGCTCCTGTTCTTGGGATGACTTTTGGAGATTTTAGACACAGCTTGACATGCAATCCACGTCAGTGCACTGTTCAGAGGTGAAGATTGGTTTTCGAAACGTCCAGTGGGAATACATCAGCACGTTAATAAGATGTTGAGTGTGACAATTTCCTCTCTTTATTGCAACTAAGAAACTTTAATAGGTCTGTAGAGCTTTGTTAACACACATTGCCTACCAACTAAACCTGACACATGTCATTTAGGGAATTTCGTCACACACACTATCAGCTTTTCCTCCATTTTGCCTTCCGTCATTTCAATCGGCTTGCAGATTTTTATCATACTATGCAACAGAAACTTGCGCTCTACAAATGTGCTTTCCTTGACGCACACGCTAATATTGTGTCTGAAAGCCTTATTTGATTGCAGAATGTGTAGAAAGAAGTAGCTATCCATTCACCTTGATAAGTCACTTAAAGCAAACACAGATGGGACATTGGTTTCTGTGCTGAGACACTCACATCACATGAATGGAAATGGTCAGGTGTGGTTCTGAATGGAGGCCTCTGTTATTAGTAGTGTGTAGTCTTTAGTGTGAGCAGATGAACACAGGAGAAATAAATAAGAGTCTGTGTGCAGATCTGTAGCTGCCTACCTGTGCTGAGAAGCAGAAGGACCTTCATGGAGAGGAACTCGTCGTAGGTTAGCTGCAATCGCACGAACTCCTGGCTCACCTGCCTCATGCCCAGACACAGGTCGTACATGGCTGACTGCTGCATACGATCCCTGAAGGAAGAAACATTTAATGCATCACAAAAAGAAGCTTTCTTTTCTCTTGCAACAACGGTATTAGGCTGCATTAGTGTTAGTCGCAATGCATCCTTAGAATCCACTCTGCCACACACAGCGATACATTCACTACGAGTTTATTTACTAGTTATTGTTTTCCTTTTTTTTCCCCCACCTGGCTTCTTCACTTCATTTCTACCAAATAAGTTCAGTCCAGTGAAACAGTATTTCCACACAGTGCAGAGGAGGATCCTGCTAGTCTGGGCTAAGAGCAGAATACCAAATCCCCCCAGATTGCAGAGCGCTGCGTACAGTATCACAGCACAGATGCACCACTTTTCCAAGGCTGTGGCAGACTACAAAAGACCCCATATCTAACCCTAGTCACCATAGAAACACTTTGAAGAAGGACGTGTGATTCCAAATACATCAACGTTGACAGAAACGTTACATACGTGAACACACGTTAACCAGACACGTACATATTCACTAATGCATTAATGCATCAAAAATGCAACATTCAGTGTATACACCAAGTACGCATGCTCATCCTGCCTAATGCTTTCTCACTCCCTTTTTCTTTCACACACATTTTATCAGTAAAATAATCTTGGTTACATCACAGAGTTCACAAAAACAGGAAAGAAACATTAGAAGGGATAAAGCACGAGCCAATCAGGAACGTGCTCTGCAGATGCCACAGATTTTCTGGCTTTAGATGCCACTTCTCTGCGCTATAAATCACCACCACATCAGCACTATTGTAATTAAAAGCAAGTAGTGTGCCTTGACATGAAAGAGGCTGGATTTTTTTTTACCCACAATACAGTGAAACCTCATCTTCACATAGGCAGCGAGGGTGGAGACTTCATGCTGATAACAACTAGACTAAACATTTTGTCGAAGGGACCAGAAGCAGCCGATTGGAAACGAGTGCATAATGTTCCCATTAAAGCGTAAGACAGCAGAACGCTTTACGGTATTTACTGTACAGCTGTCGGCTCCACTAAATAACTGATAAACCAGTAGACCTGTTTCCCTGCTGAGCAGTACTGTGTATGTGAGCAGTTTCGCAAAGTGCAGCATAATATTTGATACAACTTTGGGCTGGAGTTTCTAAAGTCTCCACACGTTTTCTCTCTCTCTCTCGCTCTCTCTCTCTCTCTCTCTCTCTCTCTCGCACTCTCTTCCTGAAATCAATTTTGCTGAATCACTGCCCAAAATGAGCTGCTGGTTTTGGGGAGGAAAGAAAAAACCGGCAGCAATCTCTCTCTCTCTCCTCCCCTCGCTCTTTCCCATTTCTCTATATCTCTGTGTGTCTGTCTTCTTCTCACTCTGTTTCTCTTTCTTTCTCTCTCAGTCTTGAACTCTCGCTCTGTCTCTCTTTTTTTTTTTAAGGTGAAAGATTTAAGGAAAAAGCACAGGAGAGAGGAACGTTCAGACTCTCCTTTGGCTGCAAGAAGCCAACAAAATGTGTTTGTTCAGAAAGGTATGTCCAAACAAGTCACTGAAAGTGAAATCATAATTGCTCACTACTTTTTTTTACAGCGAAATATCAATGCCAAAATAGTTCTAAAATTTACGGCTAATATTTTTTTTGACAGTGAAAGTTGAAAAAGATCTTTGGAGGTACTTCAGAGAGGCTCCTTTAGCGTCCAAGCCTCTGAGCGGGTGGGCCAGTGTGTGTGTGTGTCTGATTGACAGCCGAGCTGGCACAGGAACAGTGATGCAATGTAAATAATGTTGTACTGCTTACTACAGTTTACAAGCCAATGACAGATGGCAAATGGTTACCAGTTGATAATGAAGGATGCATTTCCCATCAAGCAAATGACCTTGACATATGCAGGTACATTTTTAACCTGTTTAAGGTGCTAGAGCGGACTAGATAATTAGACTGCAAACTGATGTTAAAAATACTCTTTTCCCTGGTGGTGGCTGTCTGTGTTTAAAATACTAATTCAAATGAAAGGGGGAAAAAAAGTTAAGTCTGTATCCTGAATCCATAAAATATTTTTTCTGTATTGTCTCTGTGGACACTAGAAGTTTATGGAGGCATTGCTTAGATATGCGGCGTTTTATTTCTTCATTTTTACAAAGTAGATCAATTTTTCCTGTGCAACATGTAGAATAATTAAATCGAGTGAAGCAGCTTTGTCTGGTGCACACAAAGGACGCAGTCTTACTTTGTCTTCAGTGTAAAATGCACTTTTGTCTTAGCAGTATTTATGCTCAATCAAAGACAGATTTCTCTCTAATAGCTGACTGAGTGTACAGTCTGCTCAATAAATGCCTTAATGCCCTGGGCCAATAAGCACTAAGTTGCTATGGAAACAAGAGGACACTGTCCACAAGACTCACTGGACTGAATGGACCAATTTCGCCCCAATATTTAACTGAATCATCATTTACCTGAGAAGCAGTACACTGCTATAAATTAACAACAAGCAAGTGTACACACCTCGGATTTAAAAAAAAAAAGCCACAGCGAGGATGGCGGTGAGATCCAGAGCGCCCTGACAGAGTGGTGAGCATGTGACCAGCATCCAGGCCCCCACCAACAGCCAGTCTACATCTCCTCTGCTCTGTCAAGCTTAATACCAGGTCCATCTGTCAGTGGAACTGGCCTGCTGCACAGATGCTGCATCATATACAACACAGCAAACTGCACAGTAAATAAAGTTCCTCCTCAAAGGACACATATTCATTTACTATATAAATGCACATGCGATCGCAACATTTTTCTTTAGTCAGACGTGAACTTGCCAAATAGCAAAAGCCACAAAGTGTCATTTCTGTTCAGGCATCTAAGAGAAGGAAACACGCTTCTTAATAAACTGCGATCCAATTGGCGTTAAATTGATCAGAGGATCAGACGATCTCTTATGTGGAAAACTAATACTCTGTACTGAGCACGCGGTGATACAACACACAGGCCCACAAAGTCTGTAGCTGTGTTGCACAATAGCATTTGCGCTGTTGTTTATTTATTTATTTATTTGGGACAAACTGACCCACTGACATTGACTTATACAAGCTATTAGTGGGAGCTTTTAAACATGCCCCGGACTGAACCTGCTCCTCTACAGCAGGCTGCCTACAGAGGTCACAATCCTCCTCTTTGATTCATTCTATAAAATCTAATTCATCACCGGCGACGGACTGCAGCTCAAAACAGAAAAGGCCCACATGCGGTACCTTTTTCCTTTCCACTTGCTCTCCTGTTCAAACATATTAACACAGATCAAGTGGGCTATTGACTGCTCTTGCTAGGCTTTGATCGCCTGTGCCTGATGCAATTAAAGAACCATCAAAAAGTACAAAAGTATTTCCTTGTGAAGTGGCTGAAATCTGGTGCAAGATTATGACCTTGTTTAAAGTACATCATGACTCCCTGAAAGCGAATGTCATTACCACAACAAGGCATTTTGCCCTTTGAATAGTTTTCAGGTATCTTAATGGAATGCCTAAAATAGTACGATATGAAAATACACTGCTTGCTCTTCAAATGTCACAAGCAAAATGCAGGTTAATGCATGAATTTATTTTCTCTGATAAGCTGCTGAAAATAGCAAAAGCTACTAAAACACTAATAGTCAAGGCCTGGCTGTTCAACCAATTACTGTATCTACTAATTATCTACTCTGAAAAACAAATTATGCCTTTTTTTTTTTAGCATCCGTAATAGACTGCTTGTATGCTGAATATCCCACAGAGCATCAGGCAACATCAAATGCATTTTTATGTGTGGCTAACTGCTGACAAAACTTTGACTTCACAGATGTCTGCTGAAATTTCTGTCGCTTCGAAAATATAAAAACAGATGAAATGCTAAAGTGGAGATCTTCTGTCACTTTTATTTTTTTTTCAAAGATAAAACAGTAAAACAGAAAATATTCAATATCAGAGCCACTGCTAATTGTCAGCACCAGTATAATTTAATAACACATCAGATATTCCCTGTGCACTCACTAATGCTGGCAGAGCTGGTTTCCGGTACCCTGCACCTTTCAAATGAAATTACAGTAAACTGCCCTTAAATCAAAGACGCACATGCCCCTTGGAGATCTTAAATCTTTATTAGCGGAGGTATTTTTTATGATACTTGTAACTGTTTTTATTAATTCCTTATTTACTGAGTTGTACTGCTGATTGTCTTCTAGTAAATGTTTCTTGTTTTCGAGTCTCTGTTGTAAAAGAGGTTCTAATCTCAATGAGGCTGCCTGATTGAACAAAGATTTCAGAAAAACAAACAAACATCGGAGCCATGTGTGTGGTATACCGCAGATGCGGAAGTGTGGACTTACTCGTTAAAGATGAGGTCAGGGGCAAAGTAGAGCATCTGTCCATTGGTGTGTTTGTAGGAGCGCCAGCTGAGGCAAAAGGAGGACAGACACATCCATGAGTACTGGATCAGGGTGATTTGGTCCTCAATGGGCAGGCCCCGGAAACCTAGCACACAAATACACACACACACACAGCAGACAGGAGATAAAGGTGATGAGACGACAGCATTGTTATTACATGTAGCAGACAATACTCTCCTCTGATTTAATGCATTTGGACTTATGCACCAACTTAACAGGCATTTATTTAGCTGTGCACATGCGTGCGTTTACCTGAGTCCATGCATTCTGTACTGTCTGCTACAGTGTGCATTTTTGTGCCAGTTTTTGTTCAGACATGATAACCACTGACAAGTATTCACCCATTTTTGTTTCATGCAAATCCCACAAGGCCTCCAGTTATTGGCGTGTTGTCTATGAAGCTCCAAAAATAGAGTCAGATAGGAAACTTGCCAAACTCTCAATCAAACTCTGGCAAGAAACTCCTCTTCATGCAAAACATAGGCCAACTGAGGACACGCAAGTGACATATCAAGACTTAGGGACTATTTTCAGTCTATACTCATGTCAGTCTGCCAAAAACAATCGTTTATATAAAAATATTTGCATAAAAGGTGTGCGAAATGCCAGGATTAACACTTTCTCCTCTGCTGCAAACTATTCAATTTGACATCTGTTCTTTTTTTTTTAAATTCCAGATTACTTTAAATCAACTAAACATAAGAACAGTATGCGCATATAATGTACAAATAATGCAGCTTTTAATGACTACCACAGACTTTCATTGCTGCTACTGATGTAGTCGGTCTGTGCTGCCCTGTGTGTTAGCCCTGCCACATCCCAATGTAAACCGAATGCAGGCGGTGGCATATCTGAAAGTCGAAGGTACTCATTTTGACCCTTCTGTCTGGCTTCTATTTATACGTCCGGATATGGCAAGCAGACACCGTGGAGGTATCAAATATTTGCAATACAGCAAATTAAACAGGCTCAAAGAGCTACCTGTGAGGCATCTTTCATATGTCTCCCACTGACTGGCATTTTAGGGGAACTTGTTTATCCCTTTTCAAACATCATTTTCTTCCTGTGCTGTGGTGTATACGTAAAAATTAATGAGATAGACGTTAGATCTTCTGTTCGACATAACATCTGACAACGGTGATGTAAATGAGTTCTTTTTGGAAATCCTAATCTTGATTCTATTTAATGGTAAAATAGGATTCATTGCTAATCTTGTTGAAGCCTTGCAGAATAATTTCCTGACCTAATATTTAAAATTAAAATTGTGCGCAATGACAAAACTAGCAGTGTTGCATCCTAAAAAGATCAAAAGTGAAGATGTAGGCATGTTGTCTTCATTAAAACCTCAGCCCATAATTACAGTATTGATTCCCACCTGATTTAGTAGACCGATATTTTTACCACTTTCTTTAATTCATCCATAAATAAAACTGACTTTCAATTATTTGTTAATGATGAATTAATTATGAAATACAACATTATAAATGCGACACATAAACTGGCTCCATGGTTAGTGCGTTCTTGGTCAAAGACATTCCATCGTGATGAAAATATACAATTTATTGAATTTACCCGCCACTTTAATCTAATTAACTAACTGCCGCCTATTTATTGACTTTTAAAGCAAGGGGGAACTCATCTGATGCACAGTACAAGGTAAAATACTGCAACCACATCTATTAAATATAAGCCTTTAAAATGTGATTTGCACACTTTATTTCCCTCACATATATCTGTAGAGGCCCTGCTTTGACTCTCGTCCAATTCTGGCTTGAAAACGCTCTTAAACAGCATTTAGGCCTCAGCCCACCGCTCTAGTGGTCACTAACCTGGAAGTACTTTGGCCCACTTCACCATGCGTACCATCTGCTTTCCAGCCAGGCGGTTGAGACTGGACAGCAGGTGGTCAGTGGTGTCAGGCTGTGTGTTGTCATAGCCAGAGTACACCTCTTCAGGCTCGATCAGCTCCAACACGCTGCAGATGGAGGGCGGCAGAAAAGGTGTGACCACCCCGGGCCCGTGGGGCACCAGGGCATTGGCAGCGCTGGCATTCAGCTCCTTCTCTGAGGACAGGTAACCGCCTCCAACGCCACCTGTGGCAGTCTGGCCGTCCTTAGAGCCCTGCAGATCCTCGCTGACCCCCTTCAGCTTCAACTTCTTGGATTTTCGTGCTGTGAAAAAGACAACAGCTCTTTGTTAACACACAGTTGACTTCCCCCGTCTGACATTCATGATGTGGGGTTATAATTGCAAAGTGACGGACACGGTATGGGGTATAAAAAACAAACATCACAGATAAGTAGTATTTGAGCACTTATGTCTGCTGTATGTGTTAACAATGTCTCCTGTTAATAAACATTGAATTTTAAAACCAGCTGCGACAGTATAATTTTTGATTTCTTACTTCATTGTTAATGGCGTGCTGATTAAATTTCTCACAGTATCATTTCTAAGGACATCTGTTGTCTCTGTAACTGAAGTTATAGGTTCTGGAAAGTTGTATAATCTGTAAATCATGTTCAGATGGAAATTTAGAAATTGACATTGTCCAGGTAAAAGTCTGGTATCCTGTTTATTACCACAGATGGCGATCTTTGAGGGATGACAAATATCAAATAAATACACACGAGCTAATGATGTTAGCTTGTACAGGGAGTTGACTCCAGGTGTGTTCCAACATTTACAGACACGGTAACACATTCGACCGCCCCTGAGCAACAAGGTAGTCTATTTAATCTCTCTGAAGTGTTTTGCAAAGATGGGGAAGATGCTACACTACTTCTTTGAAAACTCTTTCAAACTTTTTCATCATTAAATCAGGGATGCACTTTCACCTCACCTGGCTAAGTGTTGCTGCTTGTTAACTAACATACTGAATAAACGCCACAAGCTATTCAGCTAATGTTACTGAGGCTGCTGGCTCGTCAGGGGTGTTTCCGCTTGTTTCTGTGATAATTAACAGTACATGCTTAATAAAATCACTGAATTTCACAGCTCCGTATGTTATCTGTATTAGCTAGCTGCAATTCATGTGGCTAGCTAGCCATTTTTTTTCTTGGTGTTTGAAATTATGCTAGTTTGTTGAGTTCCACAGTGGTGACACAGAGCAGCAACATCCAGCGCTGGAAAATGAAATTAACTTGAAAGTACTAAAAACTGCAGTTCCTAAAATGGCCACTTCAGGCCGTCTCCAAAAGTAGGTCGAGTGACACAGACCACCATGTTACAATACCCAACTTTTCAGTTTACTGAACTCGTTTACAGTTTGGTACAGTTTTTGTTCTGTACAGCTAATTTCCCTGTTCCTTGTTTATTTCTTTTAAAGAATGAACCCATTTAAACTTTATTAAGGTTTGAAGTTATGCAAAACTACAGGCTGGATCCCTTTGTTTGGTGTGTTTATGGTCCAAGGACAGTCCACGGCCTTTAGACGTTTGCATGGCTCCAGTCACCCTAAACCTATTTGCTTGTTTTTGGATTAGCTGATTGTTCGGAGGAGTCCGGCGCTGCCAGGATGGTGACGGCCACAGCCATAACACTCAGCTTCAAATCCGCTTTTCAGGAAACCTACAGGTGATGTCATGTATGGTTCGTCCATCTTTATACACAGTCTTTGGGTGAAACGTACTTCACTGACATTACATTCATGTGGTGTCTTTACGTAAAGTTGGAAAAACTCAGAAAGTTGGAAATTTTGGTACACAACTTGTCGGGTTGTTGACGTAATATACACAGAAACATGGCGGATGAAAGTAAATGTTTGGTTGACATTAACTTACATACAGCATATCAGTTCCTGGCATTTAATTGGTAATTGCTTTAATTGCTGCATTGGTTGATAAAGTAATCTATTAGCAGTAGCCCTAAGAACAAGTCAGGTAAATTCTGACTTAAAAGCACATAAACACGCCAAAGTTGGAAGAATGACCTCCCAACTCCATCATAAGAGGAACTCGTGAATCTGCAGTAACTCTTACTGCGTCACAAAGTGTGATTAACGTGTTGACTAGACAGCTTTTCACTTTTTTCTCTATGTGCTTTCTGTATCCTGAAGCTGTCTCACTTATAACAATTGGTAGATCACCATGGTAACCTGCTCCGCAACAGGTTTGTTTAGTTCAAAACTTGTAAATGGCCCAACGACTGACCATCACCGGAAAACTGAGTCATCATCCTTCAGGGTCCTGGCAGGGATGCAAGAGTTTACAACTCAATGACATAATAATGAAGAGTGTTGGATACTTGCATAGATCAGTAGAATTGTTTTGCTGGTGTAGGCTTTCCATATGTATACTCCAATGTTACAACACTGAAGCAGGGGACAGTTTAATAGACTAAATGACCGCATTATGACTATTATAGATGCATTTTAATGAGGGATTACTGAAGCTGTCAATGTTTTTACACTCTTCCGTCACTTCTGCAGCTTAGAATGACATGAGGACTCATTGTAATCAACCAGCTAATAACCCACTTCATGGAACCAGTTATCCCAGTTAATCAATGTTAGGCTCAGTAAAGCCGAGGAACACGTTCCCCATGTTCAACTCCCACACACAAGAGTAGGTGATGCTCTTGCTGTTGTACAAATCCGAGTTCAGAAATGATTTTCCCTTAGGTTTAGCTTCAAGGCATACTTTGCAACGAAAACCCTACTCCACATACCTTAAATCACCTAGCATTACAGAAATCCATTTATTCTGTAGCTTTGGTAATCTGACAGCTTTCTTTACTGGTCTTCGTAGCATAATTAGATATAAACAGCTGAGCCCCTGTTCAATGGGTTACACTGCTGTGACTCAAAAATATTGACAACCTTGATTCGTGACTCATGGTCATCTGCTGCTTTTCAACACCACGTAGCACTTCACTAGACATGTTTACTCCAAGTCATGTGTCTGTACTTTCACACGTGGTAGATTGTTGGGTTTGAAATATTCTCTTGTGGCCGGTTGCTGGAGATGCACAGTAACCAAATAATGGCCCGTGCCCAGGTTGCACTTGCACAATGCTACGTATAGAGGATGTCAGACGCTGAATCTGATTTGTTTTTTTTTTTAAACTTATTTTGGCATCACCTCCCTACACTCCTCTGTGCCGAGCTTTGTGCACGTTTGAGCGTATTTTAAATGGCTGATAATGCTGTGCTATACTGCTTTAGACTTGACTTTCAGTGTGCTGCTCCTACTCATATAGCATTTCAGAAGACCCACCTTCACCCCAATATCTACCTATAGACTGCCACTACCCTGTGAGGGAGTTTATTACTGTCTCTGCCCCACTTTCTCTGTGCATATACATTCTGTATGCTTTCCGAGAGTGATAACACCAAAGCAAAACAAATTGTGCTCTGTTAGTACTCTGTAGCAACTCAATACCACATCCTTTTCATATTGTTTTGCTGTCTGAAATATATACAAACAAGTCAAATTGTCCATGAAAAAGTGAGCTTTCACAAATTCACAGTGCAGAAAATGGATCTTAAAGTCCTTTTCTGGAATTGATTTTCCCAATCAAGGCCCATTTATTTGTTTTTTATTGTACTGTCAGTTGTTTGGCCCGATTCCAGGATAAACTGTTTCCCCCGTGTTGGATGTATCATTTAAAGCTACAGGCCCCGAACCAGAGTTTAGTCATTTTTGCCCCTTATTCTGAGCAATTTATTTCAAGCGCCCATGCTTGAATGCTCGTCTGATTGTTGACTTTAATTCCAACAACAGTTTTGCTGTTCAATAAATCCCTAAAAACAAGATAATAGCAGTCCTTTCACAGCTGGGGCTTGTTTTTTTATTTTATTTTATTTTTCTAATACCCGAGTAACTAAATGTTTTTTATTTCGTGCTAACTTTTTTTAGTCATTTAACAGCAGTGTTGTTTTTTAGTTTTTTAAATGATCCTCATGTTTGATAAGCCTCATCATCATTGTCACTTCATTTTAAAAGATGCTGTCAGAGAACATAAGAAAGTAGAACCTCATTACTGCCTCCATTTATACAATAAACCAAGTTCACACAGGACACTCAAGCAGGAGAGCTTGGGCTGGGTCGGCAACCATTGCTCTGTTGGGACTACAAAGCCCGTTTTGATCTTTTATGTGGTATTGAGCTATACAAATAAATTTGGTTTGACAAGACGGCAGACTGTTCTATAAGCCAGTATAAAGTACTTTAGGTCACAGAATCTGATCACAGTGCTTAAAATTCCCTGAGCTTATACAATATTCAGTATGCTTTTATGTAAACATTTTATTGTATACCTGAATGCTAAAATCATAAAATGTTTCAGTGAGCATTCAGTCGAAGTAGAAACTTTCTGTGCGATTATGTTCATGGTTAAATTTACTTTGCTTTAGAAGCATAGAATTAAAAATCATTTGTAATTTCAATCAGGCAAATGGACTGAAAACCTATCAAGTGTGCTTTTAGCTTTGTGGTTGCTACTGTGACCCTGAGTTGGAATATGCCAGTAGCAATAAATGAATACATTTCAATTTAAACACACACACACACACACACACACGCACAGACACATTTCCCTTCTGAATCCACCACATCTCCCCTCAAATAGTGTCGTCTTTCCTCATAACACAATACTGTAACTTGTCTGCAGGCTTTGTCAGCTGGCATCGTATATAGTACTGTAGATCTACACCTACTGTAGATAATGCATTATGCATATTATGATCAGATATACTATATACACACAAACATCTTATGACTCAGCATCCCCGGGCCTCCTATGACTACACCCAGACCTACTTTTCTGTATCTATCATTTCTTATGAGCAGAGTGAGGCTGACTCAAATGTCACATTTGAGACACGTGACAGGGCAAATCTGTAATGAGGGCGCAACTCCTCACCTCCTAGGTTCATCCCAGCCTGGAGACACTTCCGTACGCGGCACGCTGGACAGTTTTTCCTACGGATCTTGTCTATGATGCAGTCATTTCTCCCAGCACACAGGTAGTTGTGCTGACCTGCAGGGAGAGAAAACACTGTGTCAGTTCAATGGTGACCAAGCATGCATGCGTGATATTTTCAGTCAAGAAGAAAAGAGATTTTTTTTTTTTTAAAGAAAAAAGGGGAGAGTAGCCACTTATGTAGTAAGAATAATAGCTTTGAACAGCGTTGCGGCAAGTACACAAGTGATTACATGAAAGGCAGTAAATGTTTGATTTCAATGTCGAATCTCTGTTGGTCTGTAATGTAGGTCAACGAGGAGAGCTGTGAAATGTCTGGCAATATCAGAGATTTCACGATTATCGCTGTGAAAATGATTGAAATAGTGATTATTCCGCTCTCACCTTCGACAATGTATGACTAATGGTGTATTATACAGTAAATTGCATGAGGGTATTAGAATTCGCTGGAACCAGGACACTGGCTGCAGCTAGACTATTCCTGACAGTGATGCTAACATGGCGAGAATCCCTCCTGCCTCCTGCCTAGCCCTTAGCTAAACCCAATGATCTCCCATTTCAGAGAGCTTCCTTCCGCTCCACTAGCTCTTCACTGTACAGCTCCTCTCCTCCTCCACTCTTCTCCTTCTCTACGCCTGCGTCTCCATCCCCTCTTTTCCACACGTCCGCCAGCCTCAGAGCACCATACGCCCACACACAGACAGGCTCATGCTCATGCACACATACAGTCATTCACTCTCTCACTCTCATAGGCGCACTCACTCACACACACACACACACACACACTTACACACGCACGCACGAACACACACATGTACAGCCAAAGCTGCTCCACTTGGCAATTTAAAAAAAAAAAAAAACTGCAAATGTTGTATCTGCTTCCACAGAGAAACACACACACACACACACACGGACATCACAACACAACCCAGATGGAGTGGTACAAGTGTGGTGCTGTGACCCCAGTGACCCCAGTATAAGGCTTAGCTCCCTTAGGGCTTATGTGAAAACTGTGTGAAAATCTTACAAATGTGTATATAGCTGTGCACATGCAAATGTTTGCACATCAGTGCATGTTAATATGCAATTCCCTGCATGTTTGTTTCGTATTGTTTCTTCAGACGTATGCGAGATTTTCTTGGCATAGTCTGCAATGTTTTTAGTATGAGAGCTCGTGTGTTGTTTACATGCAGTTTTCTCCAACAAGTACATTCTGTGCATTGCCTTTGTTGCATCTACAGTACAGTATTTGTATTTGTGTGTAGGACTGAGCAGAAGTTGTTTTCTGAGCTAGCAGGAGTAGTGCGCAGTGTGTCTGTCTGGCTGCTGCCAAAAGCCAAGGAACCGAGCTGCAGGAGGAGAGGCAGCAGCTGTAGCCCCACCACTATTTCTGGCTAAATCACATGACCGTTACATAAGCCCATTTTTCTTGCTCTAAAAAACAGTAAACTGCGACACAGGAAACACAACGCAGCCATCCCCCTTCCCCACCCCCCTTATGCACACCACACACACACACACACACACACGTATGCACAAAGACACACCATGCACTCGCGCTTGGATAGACCACACCAAATGGCAATTCGGAAAAACTCTGGAGCCCTCCTGTCAACTGTTTTGCTCATTTCCGCGAATCTTGTTAATAATTGTTAGAGTGAAATACACTTCATGAGACAGCCAAAGTCGTAGCCCGATGGTGGTTATGCATGCGACTGTGTGTGTGTGTGTGTATCCAAAAGGGAGAGAATTTGTTTGTTTATGCAGTGTGTATGCACGCACACACACACACAGCATGTTTACCTCTGAATATGTGCATTTGCTTATCAACCAAGCAAGTGGCAGGCCTTTCTGATGAAGGTTTTCAGTCTTACCTCGGAAAACATCTTTTTAAACTGAAAAAAAAACAACCCAACAAATCTCCTCTCATCTCTTATGAATGTGGTAATTTTATGAACTGGTTTTGACTCATATTTTCATGTGCATCAAAATAATCTGTCACTGTGTTTCTGCGGGAAAGCCTTCAATAATGCCCCAAACTCATTCATGCAATATTATATGAAAAAAGATAAATATTGCTCAGACACTATATTACATTTCACGTCATTGTAAAAAAAAAAAAAGCTGTGCTGGTACAATGCACATTCTGTCAGCATTGTCCATTACACGGGAACCCTCAGCGTTCTTTAACGGAGTCCAGTCACGTCTACTTTTAGCTAATGATCTCACAATCTGGCAACAGCCCACTGAGTAGCCTCTGTTGTCTGTCAGGCCCAGTATACATCAGTTATGAGGACATTCAGCTGAAAAGAAAATACTCTTTCCTATTGGGACTTTAACAAGAGTAATCTGCCCTGCGCTCCTCTGGCCACAGGGGAATATACTATACATTCACTGTCTAGAAAAATAAAGAAAGACAGACAGACGTCAAGGCTTTAACCTGACATATTTAAATAGCCACTAAACACAAGCTGTCAGACCCCCATTTGTAAAAAAAAAAACAGCCTCTCAAATACAGTAGCTTACCCACATCAATAACACGACTGTGACTCTCTGACTTGGCAGTGGAGGCAAATTTCTTACTTGCAAGCCGGCACTGCAGACATGAGATGGCATACAACGAAAGGAAGTGTTCTTGGATTAATGTCATTTAATTATCCACTCACAAAGAATTTGGTCAATTCTGTGATCATAATTCATTGGTATTTATGCAACCCTGAAATTACACAGACAAAAAAAATACCAAACAACTAAAAAAACAGGGCTCTCGATGTAATTGTTGTTACCACTGGGCCAGCAGTATGCAAATCACTGCCTTTGCAATAGCGCTGCTACTCCAGTTCTTTTGGACGCAACACACAAACAGCTGTGTTGGACGCGGCTCTACACAATTAACTTTCCCTGTCTGGATCATTATAAAAAGAGGCTGCAGAAGTTAATGCGGGATGTAAATAGAAGCTGTCATTTTGTTTACTAATGTCTCCTTTTCTATAGGAATGTGCCGTATGAGACTTTGCCCATTTCCTGCCTGTTGTGCTGCGTGTAATGCATGAAGTCATCATTTAGGCCTCAATAGGACACTTGGAAGTGTGTAACAAGCATAATCAGACAGTTATGGCAACTTTTATGATAGAAGCTGTCTCGTCCTCTTTTACCTACAAGTCAAATCGAGTTAAACTACTCTTATCTATATAGGACAGCTACAAACAACACAAGCTGACCCAAAGTGCTTTCCATCTGAGATAAAAGATTAACCTATTACAGCTACTATCTTACAACTAGAGGTCAAAATCACATTTGGCTTTTTTTTCTCCAAATCAAATAAATCATAGTGCTTAGTGCCGACTGCTTTCAGAGAGCAGTTTTTACACCAAAAGTGTGCTGACAGTCTTTGTACTTCCCTACTCATTAAAGCTGTTTCGAATCAAATTTCTGTCTTCTGATGGATTACTTAATGCCACAGCTGTATTTCGAAGGAATAAAATCGTGTAGTAACACCACTTATTCCTGCTGGTACTTTATGCAAGATTTTGTTTTTACGGACAGATCAGCACATCATAATATAATGTCACAACGCTCTCCTACTACTGTATCTTTTTTAAAAAAAAAACACTATCGCCAGTGACGACGCTGATAAAGCCCATCAGATTTGCACTGCTTATTTGGTTGAACACAAAAGGTGTAACCCAGATTGATGTCAAAGAACAAAGGTATCACCAGGGAGCAGGAAGAGATGGAAGTCAGATTATATCCATTGGACAGACGTGGAGGTCAGCCTGGGCCAGAGGAACTGGAGGCACGGAGGGGGCAGACTGAGTTATATCATCACACATGCACCAAACATATGGTTTCTGTGTCACTGCAATAGGAGGCTTTAAAAGTAGGGACACCGTTGTGTAGACTGTATATTGTAGCGCTGAAATGATAAGCAGTCATTTATTAGAAAACAATCAACAACAACCGAAATAACTAATTATTAGTCTTTTATCCATCAAAAATGCCAAACCTTCATCGAGGATGGTTGCACAAAAAAATAAATAAATACTGAGATATCAACTTGCTTAAAAGCATTTCCTCTATTTCATTTATTTTTTTCAAACAGATGTCTAAAAACAAAGATATTAAAAAATACCAAATTGTCAATATAAAAACAATGATTAGTTGCAGCCCTAATACATTGTAAGTGGGTTTGTTCTGCATAGATAAATTTCTGGTCTGAGCAAAGCAGACTTTAACCGGTGCCAAAGGAAAATCGTCGGTGCCAAAATGTTGGTGTTTTTTTTCTTTGAAAGTTTTGCAAAATTTTGGGAGGTAATGGGTTTATTTACTCAACCATAGTAGACATATTTATTTATCAAACAGCCAAAAGGAACAGGAAAATGCACAGGCTCCTATCCAATAAGGTAACACAGACCTACTGCCTTTACTGTACGTGGAACGATCAGGCTTACTGTTGTGTGTAATCACCCCCCCAAGACCCACCGCAAGCTAGAAGGAAGCCTTGTATGCATTCATTTTTAAAACATAAAATGCATGTGCTTCATTTAACACTAACTGTATCTACATTGCATTAAGGAGACTCTTCCTTAGGCGGCGTTCTCCAACCTAAATACCTATTAGCAATGTGGGTCACACACATGCTTACTGTAAGCTTTGCAGATTTAATTTCTACCTAATGCCGTATACCGCAGTTCCTTGACTGTTTTGTGCGTACGATTGTGTTTGTACGTTGTATGCAGTTTCTGATCAAAGCATGTCTGATGTGAGACATGTGTTGGAGAGCTGGGATCAGGGCAACACCGCTAAATGGCTTGTCTCCAGCCGTTGTTACATGAGCCTCTCGCACACACAACCTGAAGCATTTACTAAGGCACTGGAGGGAGGCCTTTATTCCCCCAGCTTGAGCTGAGCAACATGTGATTGGACGGCAGAGCCGCCAGTCAAAGCAGAATCTGTGCAAGATGTGTCCTCAGACGACCTCTTCCACAGAGGTGGTAACGAAGAACAGGTTTTCAGATTGAAACGAGCGCCATGGAAACCGCGACCCAGTCACATTATAGAGCAAAATGAGGCTATTACAGGGTTGACTAATGTCTCATGTCTAATGTAAACTTCTCAACTGAATAAGAGACCAGCAAAAGCAGCAAGTGAGCCGAAAGCAGGGCCTAGTATTATTACGCAGAGCAGACATGCCAAGCCACTGATGACATGTGAATAATAAGCTGGCGCTCAACTCTTCAAATGCGCTCCACATGGAGTCGTTTATTGAGTGCAGCTGTCTTGTATCAACAAACTTGTCTTCAGTGGAGTGGATGCAGGAGAGAAGCACATATGAACGCATTCAGCTATCTCCACATTTCATTAGCAATGATGACACATATTTGCCAACTGTTGTTTTGTGTCAGGAGGTTGTTTGCTGCAGCGGAGGACGAATGCTTTTAGTAAAAAAAAAAAAAAATTCATTCATTTCCAAAAAAATTCGCTGCATGTTCGCGCGTGACAGTTGAGTTAACAACTGCAATACAACAGCCAAACTTTTCACCGGAATGATTACTCCTTTCCTACGTTTGTTTACTATACGAAAAACATATCAAATGGGAGAGTAACTACAATGTGTGAGTATAATAAGAAGTGCCATACTGTACACGATGAACTGGATAACTTGTAGTTATACGAAAGCAGGTGGAAAAATGTGCACTGTGTTGGGGGAAAAAAATGAATTGAGGGCATTTTGACAAACTCACAACCAGAGAGTACTCAGCACTTAATTTACTATTTATATATATTTCACAGGCCCATGGTTATAAACTTTATAGTGTACAGTTGGCAGTGCCTTCTAAAAGATATAATAAAATTAAGTGGAATGAATATTTGTCCTCTTGAGGAGGACTGTAAGTGAACAGATTTGGACAGTGAAAGGCCCATGTGGCCAATAGATATTCCAAACAGATGGTCTAAATGTAAATCTAAAATGTAGATGTCAAAGAATAACTGTGCCAAGGTCCAGTGAGGGAAAAAAAAAAAGTTATTTAACAATGACTTGGATAAAGGAGAAACCAGACCCTCCACAATCAGAGAATTTTATCTGATTTGTTGATGACTTTAGAATGCTAACTAGCTCTGTAGTAAAGGGCTGAGAGCCAGTTAGTTGTCTAATGAGCTACAGCCGACCGAAAAGTTGTGTCCCCCGAGGCAGGCCATGCCAAAAGAAATTAAGCATGGGCTGGATTATTCCCCTTGTACAGATGCCCACTCTCTGCAGTCTTCTTTTATATCTCCCATGCCAAGTCTAAGTTTTTAACTTTGAGAGAAAAGAGGAGGAGAAGGAGGAGGAAATACTGCGAGAGGGGAGGAGTGAAACGTCTCCTCACGTCCTAACTTACACCTCTCCGGCGCTCACTGCTGACACATCACTTTCCATCCCTCTCCCTGTTACTTACTCCCTCTCTCGGCTCCTCCTCTCTTTATCTCTGTGTCTGTGTCTGACTTTTTCTTTGTCCTTCCTCCCCTCCTCCCTCGCTGTATCTGTTTCACTGTCCTCTAACTCTCTTCACTTCCTTCTCTCACTATTTTCATTTTTTGCTTCGCTCCACCTTACCTCTCCCTTTCCACCTCAGCAGCAGCTGTGGAGGGGTCAAGCGAGGTAGCAGCTCACGCGTTGCACGCAACCTTGATGACGTCGCATCACCGTACGAGCTGCTTGCACGGTTTGCACGGTTGCAGTTGTTCGGCGGTGCAGAATTGCAAGGAAACTCCGATCACAAACGGAGTAATGTGCAAAAGTAGCAAGGGCTGCGTTACACTTTAAGAACACTGTACAATCAGTTAAGCCATTTTCCGTATGATGATATCACAAGAGAGACAAATACGGTTTCAGTGCTACAATTACACAGAGACGTGAGCACCGTCCGGAGCCTCACCTGACTCATCTTGAACATCTGCCACCAGCTCTCTGCCGGGCAGGCTTGAAGCAAGTGCAACGGTATGTCTGATTTGATAACCCCGGACGCATAATCTGCTTCAGGTCTCCCTAATGACATTGTGTAAATATCATCAAATTAAGATATGATTTGATTGGGAATGAGTGCAATTCCTCCAACGGTCAGGAAAACACCTTGAGGGCCTGATGGTTGGCTTACAGTCTTTGCTTCTTTTTTTTTTTCTTTTTTTTTTTTTCCTCGCCTGCACAGGGTCTGTAAGAGTGTGTTTTGCATTCAAACACTCATCTAAATGAGTTAGGCCAAAGCCTCAGGCAACAGGCACAACATGAAAAGCACATTATGACTGCTGCTGATTTTCCCCAAGCTAAATATAACATAAAGGGCTGCTGCTGGAGACTTACCTACTGAATGTTTTTTATTTAATTTTATTTTCTTATGTGTCACTCAACTTGGTCACAGTCTATAAATGAAATGCCTGTTTTTGGTAATTTTAATGATCTTTCGGAAAAAATAAATACGCGGATGGTCTACTGCGATGAAACACTAGTTCGTTGCATACATGCGACAGCGTCGGAGAAGTAGAAAAAGGCATCAACTATTGGTTAATAATCCTTGCAAAAAGCCCTGTATGCCGCCTCTATGGAAAATAAACAAGCTGTTTCACCATGTGTTTGTTTGACTGAGCTCATCAAACTTTGTTCTGTAGGGAAAATGTAGTGTGAAAATGACTGAAAGAAGCGTTATTGTATTGCATACATTTTCTCATAATGTCTCCCAATTGGAAAAGCTGTAAGCTTCTACTACACTTGGCATAAGTTACTCATAATGAACTACTGTTAATAAACTGAGCAGAATGTCTGCCAGTGAGTCTGCAGTTGTCTGTTAAGGTAATATTTTTTAAATTTATAATTGTGAGATCCATTTTTGGCATAATGTGATATCAATTAGCAGGATTACTTTTAGGATTTCAGCTTAAACATCATATGTAAATTTCCTTTTTTCTTTCTGTTTTAAATGTTTACTAGGCCTGTCCAGGGTGTTTCCTGCCTTCACCTTAAATCAGCTGCGATAGGCTCCAGCCCACCCGTGACCCTACAGAGGATTAAACGGTGCATAGAAAATGGATCGATAAAAATGTTTACTATAAGAAATGTCTGCTATCCAAGAGAGTTCACAATGACAATGAAAGAAAACATTTTTGAAAAAGTACACATGTGAGTGAAAGGAGAATCTTCACTATTCAAAACGTACAGTCGGTCACAAAAAAATGCAAATGAAACACAAATTTAAACTTGCATAATGGTGCTAAAAGAAGTCTGCTGCAAGTACAGACACAGTATGAGCCAGATGACTATTCCTCAAAGAGGTATTGGATCCATACCTAGTTTTAGTTTTTAACCAGGTATTTATTAAGCATTTTTGCACCACCAAAAACTAAAGCTGTTTAGCTTTATTTCATTTCTGTTATAACTTGCAGCATTTCTCTGTTAGCGTGTATTTTCTGTGTTTGCTGTGCTCTCCTTATGCCGCATGTGTGCTGTCAAGTCTGCAAACATGTTCCCTGATTTGCTTGTTGATGCGTATTTACAGCGATCGTGTCTTGTCAAAGCGTTGGTGATTTTTTTCTTCAATTGCTTGTGTTTTCCTAACCTGCGGTGTGTTCAGCTCACCCAGCTAAGACAGAAAAGCCTTAACCAGCGACATCTTGTTTGATCATGTCATACCTTCCACAGCTCTTTTGAAGAAGACTTTGCAGCTCCCACATGTTACGACACCGTAGTGGCATCCTGATGCCTCGTCTCCGCAAACCAGGCACACTTTGGCCGTTGAGGATGGTTGTCTCAGTGGCGAGCTGAAAGGACACACACACAAAAGAGACCAGACATAAATTAACAAAGAATTTTCAAATGTCAACAAGAAACCCAGGGCTGACTGTCCCCGTCTTAACTGCATTGCAGCCTGATGCACATTGTGAAAGATTCTTGGGTTTTTACAACCCACTGACAGTAGCAGCACAATGTGGCTAGCCATAAAGATGTCCGCCGACCAAGAGAGAAGGGCTTTGCGCTCCTCTGATTTACAGCTTCGCCAGGCTTACAGAGATGACACTGACAGAATTATGGAGGAGATTATTTAAATTCAATAAGCAGAGAGACACCGAACAGCATGTCAAATTTAAGTAGCATCCAAAACACTTGTCTCCTTCTCAGGCATGAAATGTATGTGAGGTGCTGGAAAACGCGCTGAGAGGTGGACAAAAATAAGAAAAACTATGACAGGGCAAAAATCATACTGTATAATAAGACAAACTTCATAAGCACTCTATGGTCAAAGGTCAAAGGTGTGAATCAGTACTGATGAGTGCTGTACTGTAAGTTGCATGGCAGGCTGTTGCTGTTTACTCTGAGCAGGCCAGCTAACAGAAGTGATGACAGTCTGCTGCCTTTCTGCCTGATCAAAGGCAATGTTTACTTTGGCAGTGAAAGAAGTCATTTACTTCTTTCACTAGTGACTGATTTCTACACTTACGTGACCATTAAAGCTCAAGATGAACACTATGTTCTTACTAATGCAGTGTTAAATGAGAGAACTGGTTAAGTTGCAGTTTACCTATTTCTGCAAACGAGGCCACGTCGGTCATAGTGATGAGTACCAAAGGTCAGAACTAATCTCTGAAGTCTGTCTGTAGTTAAACTATCATGAATCCAAGCAGAGGCAATGTAGTGAAAAGGACTTGCAGAATGCATTTCCATCAACACAGAACAAGCCGTGTTCTGGTTTCTAAACATTCATTTGAACCGATTCCACCAAAAAAGGCGGAACTTGATCCTGTTCCGTAGGGAACCACAAATTAGTAGCACCCAAAGCACAAACCTTGACAACACTATGAATGGGGATTCTGGTATAAAAGCATAAAAACATTTTACATGAATTTGTCAATAGCCACAGATGGCTTTATGCTGTTTTACTGAAGTAAAAATTTGCAATCAGATGTTAAAACTCTGACAGTGAACAATACAATGTTTTGCTTTTGTTTTCCTGCAGCACAAAATATCTGTTGTGATGATAAAACAACAGTTCTGATACAAACTGGAAATGCGGGCTGAGTTCACAAGGTGAAGCAGAACTTTTCTGGTGGACAAGCAGTGACTGCGCACTAAAAGCAGGGCTGGATTTACTGATTGACTGGTTGACTAAACTTCTGCTTACATCTTGCTTGATTTAGCTATTATTATATAAGAAAACACGGGTCAATATAAGACTTACAATGCAATAATTCCAAAAGATTTGCTTTATGTCAGTAAAACAGTAAATCAGAATGCAAATATGATTAACAATCATTCTGGCATATCAACAGATATATGTCACATCATTGAAAAACCCTGTCAGTACTATATAGTTAACATAAGACTACCAAGTATATTTTTGAACTATAAGATGATGAGTCTCATCAGTGACGTGGTCCCAATATTATGATAACAAACATTTAAGACCCCTCATCAAAAATACAGTTTAACATTTTGATCTCACATATTGTCTAATTAACCAAATATTGACATCTCTAATTAAACTTGAACTTAATGGAGGCGTAAGCAGGGTTTGACTAATTATCCGCCTGTCTGAAGGATAAATGCTAAACCGTTGTCTTTTAATTAAACATATGCAAAGCTCAAACAAACAAGAGCTTTGAAATTGTTTTAAATTTTAACACCAATATTTTTACATTTTACAGCAAATGCATATCATTTCAAGTATGCAATATTAGTCTCATTGATTATTAGTAATCAATATTAGTGTTGGCAATAAAAAAAAACACAATGGTTAACCTCTAGATGTAAAGCGGACAAACTGGAGTGAGAGGGATATGTTAAAAACAGAACTCAATGCAGTTCAGTATGAAGCATCACATGGTTTCATCAGTTTGCAGAACAAGCGTGCTCTATGGATGAGGGCACATAACATGCAGATTAATGGTGTGAGTAAAACCAGAATGGGCCCATTATATTAGGGTATGCTACTCATTTATGCTACTTGTTAATGGAATGCAGTGAATCAGTTCTCTCATATAATAATCATCAACAGCCATATAATAAAACATTTAGCGTTTACATTCTTAGGGGCTTTAAAACTTTGCGCATTTCAAGCTCGGTTTCCACATACGGAGAAATTAGGATAAATAGCACAATCTCTGATAAAACATTTCCCTTCGTACTCACACACACGCACAATGCACACAAAGAAAACAACATGTAGATGGGTACAAAGAGAGAACACCTTGTATCAAAACATTAAAAGTGGCCTCAGCTTCCCCTTCTTTTCTGTGCTAATTACCTCTCTTCCATCTCAATCAATAACATGCAAGGTGATTGTCTGGTTAACATTCTCCGTACATCCTTCATCAAACCAGCTGCCAGGCTCTCTCTCTCCTGGTCTCTCTGTCTCTCTCCCTCCCTCTCTCTCATGCACACACATTTCCTCCAGGGGACTAGCTGGAAAGGGGTACAGCAACAGCACACTCAGATACAATCAGGACCACTGATCTAATTCCCTCTTGTCCATCTACACACACATTCAATTTGTTAGGACGCTTAGAGGAGTCTCTGGTGAGGTGTTTGTCTGACTTGATCTTTCTGGCACTGAGCCCCATGGTTTCAGCTAATGTGAGTGCGAGCGTGTGTGTGTGTGTGTGTGTATGTGTGCGTGCACAAAATCCAATCCACGTCGAGACGTGTTTTTCAGCATGTTAATGTAGTGAATATTCCCCCCCATACATCGGCCTTTTCACACCATCACAAAGCTGTATTAAGGGGAAGACAATGCAAGCCAAGAAAAACAGCCTCGGAAAGTTTTATGGCCAAGAACAACATGAGCAGCATATGAGAGGTCCCTCTAAAGTCTGCCTCTAATATCGAGTCAGTGGTCAACCCTTTAATAGTGCCGCACATTAAAACCTTGTCACTGCGTGCCAGCCTGCCTGCCTGCTGGTCCACCAACAAGGTGACTTCCCCTCCCTCAGAGAAGTATATAGGTCATTCACTCTCTCTGCTTATGAAACCAGAGCAGACAGGCCAGGCTGCAGTGACTGTGCACCAACCTCTGCCAGTAGCCCAAAACTAAACACAAGCCACCCGACATTCCCAAATCAGGCTGTTGCAGTGGAGATGTTAGCCTACAGTTTGCAGCGTACAGTACAGGCAAAAATAACAACAGAAACGTTGCAGTGAGTTTGAGAGAATTGGAGAAATGAAATGCAACAAAGAGCTCGAAATTGAGATGTTGTAGTTAAGTGGTGTGTGCCTTTAGTTTGTCCTTTCATAGATTAAAAATATTCCGAGGTCACAAATTGCATCCGTTTTAATGAAGGCTGAAATGATGATGGACCACTGGATGCGACATCTTGTTAAAACCAGCTGTTCAAGCTGTTAATTCCTGCAACCTAGTGTCGCTCTTCATCTCCTACTGAAAACACAGAGGCAGGAAGCAGAAGAAGCAAATTTGCAGAGACAATGTTGACTTCGTACAGATATTCTTTTGAAGAAAGCTGCGCAAAAAAAATACTTAAAAAATGAATATATTTTTAATTTTTGCAGGAAAAAAAAATCTACCCCCAATATCTTTTTAATAATGTGTCTGATTTTTATCACCCAGAAAGTTCTGCACTTGTGCGTAGGCAACTTCTGTGAACTGGGTCTGTGACTTTTTTTTTTCTTGACCCCTGTCTTCTCTATTTCTGGGTACAGTCTCAGACTAACTCAATGGGACTGACTGCACAGATCAAAGGTCTCATTCTTCGCTCCAGTTGCTTTTTTTCCCTTCCTACAGAAACCCCAGGGCAGCAGTTTCATTGTTTTCAGTGTCCTTTCATCTTTAAAGATAACACACAAAGCTAACAACTGATTTAGTTGCTGTTTATTTCCCATGAGGGTACAGATGAGCGTGAGTACACAATGCCTGTTTCTTCCCACCAGAATGTACAAGCAGAAATTTAGTATTTTCTAACTCTTGCTGCCCCTTCGCTGCTTATCAGACCAGCATGCTTGCCTAGGGAAGATATTAATGAAATGACAAAAATGAAATGGAATGTTTGAGCTTGAAGTCAGTGTGCCCACCAAAATGTGTGAGGAACAAACCACAGGACAGATGTTTGGGCTCAAATTGGCCTCATGTTTTTCTACAAGTAATTCGGATGTCACACTGGGAGCATTCTTCAAATGGTTCAAATATCTCCTCCCTCTCTCAGCTGCAGAAAAAATGCTAAATCAGTGAGAGCTAAGACTAGAATGGACGATCATTTAAGCCAAAGATTTATCAGAATGCCGAAAACTGTCCCTGATGGTGACTGCAGTCATTCAAAGCAGACCTCACTTCCTCTCTGTGTTTGTCTTTGTTCAGGCTTTTCTTAATTCTGAGACCATAATCTCCATTAACTACAAATAGGTCAATATGGGTCACAAGAAAAGGTCAGATGTAATCTGAGGGATGTATAACAAGAACAATTAGTTGCTATAGAAACCGAGCAGTCAAAGAAAACTGACAAATTAGAGATACAAAGGAAGTCCAGGGGGCCGCAGTTATTCTGGGTTTGTCGAGATAACATTATTACGGGTGAATAACTGGGCGTGAGATGGCTGTATGATGGACGACTGCAAGCCTTCATGGTTAAGAATGAACCCTGTGACCCACGTAAGTACATTAGCATGGCAGCGTCAGTAAACAAGCAGCTGAAGCGCAGCGAGAGAGCTCTGTTGTATAGGAAAACAATATCCTAATCATGCATGTAACACTGTCTGCCACACACGCACGCACACACGTGTGCTCTGCTTTGTTTACACTACTGTAGAGCCAGCCGCC